GGGGCCGCGCCTGAGGCGGCCGCGGGGCCGGCGGGGCCGGCGTTCGGTCGGAGCCCCGAGGGAGCCCTGCGGCTCTCCCAGCGTGTCTCCCAGCGGCTCTCCCAGCGTCTGTAAAATTGTGGTCTTCCTTCAGTTGTTATCAGTTCTTCATTAGCCCGGGCGTCTAGAATGCGAGAACTTCCCTGGTTGTAGCTTTTAGAGTTTGAAATGCTGTCAGTCGTTAATTAGGATCATAGAATTACAAAGTTGAAAAAAAACCTCCGAGATCGTGGAGTCCGACCTTTGACTGAACACCACCGTATCAACTAGATGCCACTAGGTGCCACATCGCTTCTTGAACTCCTCCAGGACGTGACTCCATCACCTCCCTGGGCAGTCTGTTACAGTGCTGGACAATGCTTTATGAAATAGATCAGCTTTCCAGGCCATGCTTGTGGGAATACGGGAATGAAGTGGGAACACACTTTGCCGCCAAACTACAGCTGGCCCAGCTCTGATCTAAGACGTGCTCGGAAGAGCTTAGCCTTGGCATCAAGACGCAGAATTGCGTGAAGTTCGTGTCTCTGGAAGACAGGTGTAAGAGCTCTGGCAATGGAGCTTTGCCTTGGCATCAAGATGAAGAATTGCGTGAAGTTCGTGTCTCTGGAAGACAGGAAGACAAAGCACTGCAGAAAAAAGCCTAGCAGTAAACTAATTATGGTTTGTGGCTGTGAAGGAGTAGATTTGGCTGGTTAGTTGGGGATTGCTTCCCTTATGGGAGAAAGTTCCCTTTCAGCCTAAAAAAATAATTTTGTTTGATTTACAAACTTTATTTGTTTGCAATGAGGGTGAATGGTGAAATAAATTTTGGCACAACTCTTCCTTCTACTGAGTTACATACATAATACTCATAAATATGTCTGTTAAATTCCAACCTACCCATTCCTATAAATGAAACATAAAAATTCCTTTTTACTTACGTGCAAATCCTCATTGGATTTTAGTTTCTTTGGATAATATCCCTTGTAGATATGAAGCTATTTGTGACAGCTTCTGTCAAACTAGAAGTGTGTCCAGCATAATTGTGTTACATGAAGACGAATTATGTTGACATAAGAAGTTTGAAAAGTAGATTACCATATAGATGCCTATTTTTTTTCAAATGTAGTAGCATATAACCTTTTTTTCATCAGAAGATATCTCATAAATTGATTCAAGTATTACTGCTTACCAAAACTTCCAAGGTCATAACATATTACTTGATATGCTATGTTCTCACCTCACTCAACATATAACTGAGTAAATTTGACCTAATCTTTATCTTCATTGAACTTGATAGGTAATGGTAAGTAAACTGTTCTGCCTTCTCTAAAGGCAGTTTACTTCTCTAAAGGCAGTTTAAAGCTTCTTCTTCGCTTCAGTGTTTTTTCCCCAAGCATATTACCATTCAAATTCATTGCAAGGTAATTCATAATTTTGTTTCTGCCTCTCTTCCTCTCTGCTCCAGAAACATAATAAAGAAGTAGAGGTGTTGTGGTGCAGGATTCATTTGGTGTGTTCTGTTACCCCCTAAAGCTATAATGGTTCAGTCCAGGCACAGGTGAATCTGAAGGAGGATGTCCTTTCTACTAAGAATAATACTTATTTTTTTGTTAATTTTAAGTGGCTATACTAGTAAAAGATTGAAGCAAGCTGTTGTTCTTTACTTTTTCTTTCAAGCTCTCAAGGGGAAATGCTGCATGTGTTAATTGTTGCTTCTCAGAAATTAAAAGCCTGTCTTCTGGTTTCTTCTCAGACTTTTTTAAGGCCCATTGTTTCTGTAGCTTCTGTTAAGAGATTTATGCAGATTGAATAAACTTTCAATTAAATTCAAGCTAAGGCTGAAGTAAATTTAGTCTCTGCAGATGAGCAACTTCAGCTGCCAGGTTTGTTGTTCTTGAACTAATGATAAACATACTGGATAGTTACTAATATTTAACCAAAAAAAAAACCCAAAAAACCAAGAGAACTTTTCTACATATATCAAAACCAGAAGTATCTTCTCTCTTTACCCTTTCCCCAGAAACTGCAAGTTTTTATTTTTATACTTGAAATAGATTTAAGATTAAATCAGACTTATCTGCTGGACCAAGTCTTAGATTCTAATATTAGTAAGTTTTAGTCCTCAAGTAAATGGACTTCCTTAAAAACTGTTGCTTTCTTTCAAATATAGTTTATCTTCAACTACTGTCTTATCAAAGTAGAAAATGTAAAAAGGTTCTAGAAGACTTCAAAAGAATAAAAAATAATAATTTGAATATCATCAGCTGCTTTGGAAAGCTCAATAAATTTATCAGGAAATGTGTAAGTCTGTGGTAAGTCTTGAATTTTTAAAGCCTCTCTGTAAGAAAAATAGACTAAGGGAAAATCTTACTGCCTTCAATTAGCCAATGGGAGGATAGAGGAAAAGATTTTTCTGAGGAGTGCAGAGCAAACAGACAAGGGGCAATTGCCAGAAGCTGCAACAAATGATTTTCCCAAATGGTATTGGGAAAAATTCCTGATGCAAAGATGTTTAAGCACTGGGGATGTGCAAGAAGATGTTAGGGGGCACATCCAGGACAATGGATTCCAACTGATATAAGGAACCATACCATATGGCATTGTGTCCAGTGGTAAAAACTCAGGGAGAGAAAGAAGAGGCAGGGACATTTGAGTTACACCGTTTATGTTCCCAAGTAACTGTTCCCTCTTTTCCTGGAAACAGCTAAAGATTTTCCTGTTGATGGGAAGCAGTAAATGTATTCCTTATTTTGCTTTGCTTGCATATACTGCTTTACTTCACTTATTAAACTGTCTTTAACTCAGCCCACAAGTTTTGCTCCTTTTCCAGTACAATTCTGTCCCTCCCATCCCACTAAGCAGAAGTGAATAAGTGCCTGCATGGGCCTTAGCTGCTGACCAGGATTAATCCACAAGTTGGCACTGTATTGTCATTTATAGTAGGAGAAAATTATCTCAAGCTATCACATAGGACTCCCTCAGTTAGGAGCAAAACACAAATTGATATGAGATGTGATATATTTTACTATTGCACTTAGGGTGATTTTGAGTATGCTGGTAGTACAGAACACATCCCATGGATTCTAGTCAGCTGCCTGGCTTTGCATATGAACCATAACTAAACCAAAAGATGTTTCACCTCAACATAAAGGAAGAACCTTCTCTATGTTGAAGGCAGCAGAGCACTGCCACAGGCTGCCCGGGGAGGTCAAGGAGTGTTCTCTCCAGAGACATTCAAAACTCTCCTGGACGTGTTCCTGTGTCTCTTGCTCCAGGTGACCCTGTCCTGGCAGGGGTCTGGACAAGATGATCTCCAGAGGCCCTTTCCAATCCAAGCAATTCTGTGATTCTGTATATCGGGCATACACACTTTACACACTTGCTCTTTTTAATTTCATGATTTGAAATCACTTGGGCTTATTTTTTATTTTGCTGGGCTTTTTTTTTTTTTTTTCTGTTTTGTTTTGTGCTTTTTGGTGGTTTTATTGTTTTGTTTTGTTTGTTTGTTTTTTTATTATTGGCAGCATATCTGGGTATCTACGAATATCTGATTTACCACATCTTTGTAGTGAAACATGATAGGTATAATTTGAAGTTGTACTTGCACTTTTCCAAATTGCTCTATCCTACAAGAATTCTCAGAATGGGTCAATTTTTCAGATTATTTTTAGATCTTGCGCCTTTGAATTATTCCTTATCTTTATGTCTTAGAAAATCTGTACAGGAGCCTTTAAAAGAAAGGTTTGAGGGCATGTTAGAACACGGAATTCCACCCACCTTCTTTTTTTGGCATACTGCTGATACTTAGTTCTGTGGAAGGAGTGACAGGAATTGAGGAAAGCAGAGTACCATATGTCTTTTAGAGCATACTTGGGTGACAGTCATGAACAGAAGGAGAATAAGAGCAAACCTGAATTTTACAAAATTATATCATCATAGTAGAGATGGCCAAGGAAAAGTAATATAAATATGAAATATGTTTGTGATTTAGGATTGGAAGGTTGTAAATTTCAATCTGAGTTTTAAAACTTGTTGCAAGTTGGTTTAAGGTTGCTTGCCTAAAATGAGTAAGACAGCAACATTTGAAGACATCATGACTTAAACATTGTAGCTTTTGAAAGTTATGCTTGGAAGATTACTTGTGAGATAAATGAGATTACTGCTTTATGCTATGGCACATAAAGTTTGATCTGTGTTAATTTCTCTTGATTATTCTTTTTACATATTCTAAAGTTACGTTATTCAAAGTTATTACACTTTTCCTTTGTGGCTTAAAATATTTATGTTGCCACTTGGTGGCCTCATTTGATCAGTAATAGAAGATAAAAAATGTAAGTTAATTGCACACTTCACGAGTATGCAATTCAAACCTTGACATGATTTTCCTACACATCCAAGAGTAATATATCCCTTTTTGCAATGAATATATGGATGCTGTGGTGATTGCTGTTGTAGTTCTCAAGGGTCTGAATCACTGATGTTGGGGTGGTCAGATTTAAGAGCTCTTCAGTAAGAGTAGAACTTGAGTGAATGATTTTTCTCCCCATTCTTCCTCTCCCATCCTTGAAGTTTTAATGTTCCATACCCCTTCTCAATCAAAACAAGCAGAGGATCGTGTCTGCTACCAATAATTTTGATTTTGCCAGGCTTCTTTCCTACTTGTTCTGCATCCTTAGTTCTTATTTTTCAGATTTTATTACTTGAAAATGTTTTTCTGTATCACTTTTGTGAAACTGTATGCCAAGTCTCTGTCCCTCTGTGGTTCCATATTATTTGTATTATAAGCTATGTCACAAAATACTAGTTTGTTGTTACTGGGTTTGCTGGTTTAGTGTACTTCTGTCTGAGTTCAACGCAAGAAAATATTTATTATATCATGCTTAGGACACCTACTCATGAAAATCTTCTGCCTTGGCAAGATTCTTGCCAATTCCCCATGCCTTGCAAGCTCAGGAAGAGCGGGCAGGATGAGTGGATGGTGAGGTGGATTGAGAACTGGCTGGATGGCAGGTCTCAGAGGGTTTTGAGCAGTGGTACAGGGTCTAGCTGGACTGTTACTAGTGATGTCCCCCAAGGTTCAGTACAGGAATTGTTTAACTTGTTCATTCTTGGATGAAGGGCCAGATGCCTGCTCAGCAAGTTCACTGATGACACAAAGCTGAGAGGAGTGGCCGATGCCCTGGAGTGCTGTGCAGCCCTTCAGAGGGACCTTGACAGGCTGGAGGGATTGGCAGAGCAGAACTTTTGAAATTCAACAAAGACAAATGCAGGGTCCTGTACATGGGTAAGAATAATCCCACACACCAGTACAGGCCAGGAGCTGACCTGCTGGGAGGTAGCTCTGAGGAGAAGGACCTGGGGGTCCTGGTGGACAACAAGCTGTCCATGAGCCAGCAGTGCCCTTGTGGCCTTGCAGGCCAATGGTATCCTGAGGTGCATTAGAAGGTCATTGCCAACAGGTCAAGGGAGGTGATTCTGCCCCTCTACTCAGCCCTGGTGAGGCCACATCTGGAGTGCTGTGTCCAGTTTTGAGATCATCAGTATATGGAAGAAATGGAGCTTCTGGGGTGGGTCTAGCAGAGGAGAATGAAGATGACTGGGGGACAGGAGCATCTATTTTACAAGGAAAGGCTGGGAGAGCTCGGCCTGTTCAGCCTTGAAAAGAAGCAGCTGAGAGGGGACCTCACCAATGTTTATGAGTATCTGAAGGGAGGAGGTCAAGAGGATGGACCAGGCTCTTTTGGTGGCTCCAAGCAATTGGACAAGAGGCAACGGGGAGAAACCAATGCATGGGAAATTGCACCTTAAATATGAGGAAGAACTTTACTGTGGTGGTAAATGAGCATTGGAGCAGCTTTCCCAGAATGGTTGTGGAGTCTCCTTCCCTGGTAGGGAAACGACCCATCTGGATGCAATACTGAGTAATAGACTGTAGGGGACCCTCTGTAAGCAAAGAGGTTGGACCAAATGGCCTTCCAGCCTCAACCATTCTGTGATTCTGAACCCACAGTCTCACACTCTGCTGGCTCAAGGCTAGGTACTGCCTCAGAGCAAGTAAGTGCACTGTCACCCTGCTTCAGTCTTGAGATTTTCTTGCAAAATCTATGTAGGTCTTTTTGCAATTGTATAGCTCCAGATAGCCCCAGGTCTTCTGTCACACACTACAAGACATACTGCAAGCTGGAACAAAAAGATATCTAGTTAACACACAGGCAATGATTTATGGCTAAAATATTGGATTCTTTTAGCAGTGCTTGACTGTCCTCTTAAATTACCATAGTAGATTCAAGGTTTCTTTATTCTTTCCTGATCTTAGTGGTTGTTGATTCTCTGAAGCAATATGTCCTTTCACTGCTTGGTGCTTATTTGTGACAGGGTTTTTTTAGCTATTTGCTCAGTTTTCCATGATTCCTTAATGTTTTTATTATAAAGATGCCAGTTATCCCCAGGGTGCTCATGTTCTGGATATTATAATTCTGCTGGTGTAAGTGAATATTGCAAACGTTTACCCAAAATTATATAGATGAGAAGCATGGCATACTTATTTCTCTACACAAAGCACAGTCTTCTGACAATTTCTACTGAAATACAAAGAAACAATTATGTTTATCTGTATTAGGTATCATAGGTCCTGGAATCATTAACTATTTGGGTCCACACTCAAGTAGCTACTGCTACTGTAGGAGTAATACTCTGTTTCCATTGTGGAGCCTTCTTCAGACACTTTTCTCTGGGACAGGAGCAGTGACTATAACCCTGTTTCTTACATTCTTTCCTGAATCTGTTAATAGCCCATCAGTAAAGCCCCTTACCTTCCACACAGTGACTGATAACACCTCTTCAGGCAATAGCAATGTGGGTTGTGCATGCGCTGTTTTACAATCATCTCTATGCCATCTTCAGTATGGGATCTGGCCTTCCTCTCTCCTAAAATTACATCTCTATTCCATTTCAATAGTTGACGCTATTTGGTATCCTACAGTCTGAGTGCCCATAAGATGTGTGTTGGTGATTACTGCTTAAAGAGTCTACTGATGGTTTAATAATGTTAATAGCACTTTCTACTTTCAGTGCCTTTTTTTCTCTAAAACTATTATTTTTGCTACTTCTATCCATATTTTTATTCCTTTGTAACATTGCTACATCTCAGATAAATAATATTCAATTATTTACTTATATGTATTTTTATTTCCTGGGGTTTGAATGTTGCTTATAATATGCTCCAGTTTTGATAACTCACAAGTCAAAGTTTCTATATAATTGTGTTCAAAATTCCAGTCACCATTTCTACTCCCTCTAAAATGGTATCCATAAAAACTCTTGGTTTGTTGTACTCAGTCACACAAAATCCATTTCTGGGTCAGTGTTGCAATGACCCTTTAATAAAAGCAGTATATCTGTTCTGCCTTAGAAAAGTCGGAGTAAATGCTTTGTTCACAGCAACATGCACTCTAATTAATTTGTTGCAACTGTATAGCATTTCTATATATAAAATTTTGAATTTTCTCTCAACTGGAATCTTTAGTTAAAAAAGTTAACCATACCAAGAACAAAATGCTGTGAAGTAAGCATTTGACTTTTTTTTTTTTTAATTTTGATTTCCATTTCACTTCTGGTTTTCTTAGTCTAACTGTCTCTGGTTATGAGTTTTCCACTCATATTTCAGGTTGTCCAGGTTCCATCACAATTTTTGTGCATTACTTTGATTTTTATCCAAGTAAATAGATATAAAATATGCAAGTTAAATTTGTATGCTGCTTCAAGTGCCCATAATACATTCCCTTAAAATCAGAGACATTTATTAAAATCACAATATAATTTTTGGCATAATGGAACATAGATGTTTGTGTTTAGCCCTCACATTTTTTTCCCACAATTTTAAAGTAGTGAAGACATGTATCTAATGTTTTCATTGTCTTTGGTTCAAAGAGTTTTCCACTGTCACTACAGATAAGGTCTATTATCAATAAAGAGCAGAGTGCTTACTACTTCCCTTGTTATGCAAGCAAATATTCACAATTTTGAACCTAACATAGTTAATAATAAAAATAAGAGCAGACAAACTTCACTCAGACAAAACTTAATAATTAATTTATGCTGCTTCTTTTAAAAGCCTTTCTGCTGTCTATAATTCTGGTGCGACTTCCCTTATGTACTCTTAAATTTTAATAGCAACATTTATAACATAACACTCTTGTTGTTGTTAGCTTATTTACCTTGCCATAATTAAAATTTAAACTGCAACTAGGCTATTTTTAGGCTATTTTCCGTTTATGAGTTTATCTTGATCCTGCTTATGAGTTTGTCTTATCCTACGTAAGATCCTACTTTGTTTATAATTGAAGCTGGTTCATCCCATTTACGGTTTAGTCTGTAAACTTGCGTGGAAAATATGCAACATTACTCACCACCCTGCTTGCCATTCTGCAAAGTAGTAGTTCATTCTTGCTTGTTTATTAGTGCATTGAGCATTCCTTCCCATCTAAGTTGCTATAGCAACATTAATCTCTTTCCATGTGTTTAGATAGGGTCAGTAGCTATTCTTCAGTTAAAACATTGGGCAGACTTTTTTTCTCCCAGGCATAGCTCTAAATCACATGAAATTGGGAGAAGCTGTGGCTCACAGGTCATTACAATGACAAGATGATGCAATATCCCAAACCCTTCTGTAATTTTTCACTTTTTGGCTTAGTGCTATTTTTATAGTTCCATTGGACCGTTCAGTTTACCTTGAACTGCAAGTTCACAGCAACATGGAGCCCTTCTTTTCTTCACAGGCTTCCACATAATTCCTTGATGATTTTCCCTGGAATATATGTTCCTTGTGTCAAATAAATTTATTGGTTTAAATTGCATCTGGAAAATACAATGATAAATGCCTGCATGGTGGTACACTTGCTATAGCTTTCTTTACTGAACTACCTCAACCATATTTGTCAGTGATTCTAGAATTAGGAAACCATGCTTAGTCCCACTTTGCATGGTATGTGGGACTAAGGTGAGACTGCACATATTCTGGTGTAGTCTGTTTGTCCTGGTTTGGCTAGGATAGAGTTCATTTTCTTCTGATGTTTCTCACTGATGTTTCGGCTGTTGCTAAGTAGTGCTTACCCTAAATCAAGGACTTCTTAGTGTCTCATGTTCTGCCAGTGAAGAGCTGCACAAGAAGCTGGGAGCAGGGGGAGCACAGTCAGGATGGCTGACCTGAGATGGCCAAAGGAATATTTCCTACCACAGAACATCCTGTAAGGTGGGGGAGCTGCCTGGGAGGAGCCGATCGCAGTGCAGGGACAGGCTGAACATCAGTTAGTGAGTGGGGAGCAATTATCTTGTGCATCACTTATTTCTCCTGGGTTTTATCTCCCTCTCTCTCTCTCTCTTTCATTATTACTGCTACTACTATTATTATTGTTGTTGTTGTTGTTTTATTTTACTTTGCTCCAGTTATTAAACTTTTCCTACATTAACCCTCATTTCCATATTGTAAAGTTGTTCTATCTTTGTATACCTTACTTTCTATAACTTTCTTCAGTTTGTTTACCAGCTGGGCTGGGTGTTTCTTCCAATGTCAAATCTACTGGGACTACCACAACCTTGGCAAAGGTGTGTGCTTGACTATAATTCCAGTATTGCTACCTCTGTATGTTTCTTTTTGGTAGACTTCTACATGACCTGCTTTTTTTTTTTTTTTTTTTTTTTTTCCCCCCCCATTCTGTGTTTATTATCCTATGTTCAGGATTTCCTTTCCATGATGGAGAGGCTACCAGATTTCCATTCTGTGTTTGTAGGTGATTTTTATTCTACTTTGGTAGCCAAATAGTTAAAGCTTGATGTATCCGGTCTGAAACTAAGTATGAAGCTAGGTCATTTCCTTTGGGTTTCTCTTTTAAAATCATTAGCAGAGGTTGTGGCTCTGTTGCTTGCGCAAAGTGAAGGCAGACAGTCCTTTTTATTTTTCCCAGCATATCTAATAGAGGATTTTCCATAGTTTTGATAAAAACTGGAGCCATTTGTGAACCACACTGAATAACCTGTGGTACGAAATGAATAACGGAGCTTATATCTGGTGAGAGACACATAAAAAGGTAAAGTGCACTTCTGTTCTTTCCAGTGGTTAAAAACCCCGTAGAGCTAGTGATAAAGTCTTTCCCTCTTCTACAGAAAGCACTTATTTATAAAAGCCAGTGTGCATCAGCTGGCCTGGGTTTTTACTTTTCCACTGATTATGTACTTCAGTGAAGCATGTGTGATATGTACTCTATTGGAGCATGTGCGATATGGACTGCTGCAAAGCCTTTAGTGATGTCTATCCAAAACTAGTTACCTATACTAATGCTAAACATGTTTTTTAATAAGGAATACAGTTTTTTCCCCACAAATCTTAAGAATCTCAAAGCAAAATAGTTCAATTTCTGTGTTCTTTAAATAGCACCATGTAGATCAGTAGTGGCAGCTGAACAGTAATGTGAAACAGCTTACAGTAATGTGCATCTAAAGGCCAGCATTTGAATGATTGCAGTTTTACTTCTTTTTATTCTTTCCATTCTTTTTTGTGAGATTTCTTCACTAATTTGATTAGTGGTTTACTCATTTCTGCAAATATGATTCTCACAAAAATGTAAGCAGCTGCAAAAGTGAAACAAATACAATTTTTTCATGCATGGATTCTCATAGTCAGTTCTACCCTTTGCTGATGCCAGCATCACCATTCCTTTGACCTAAAACTGAGTATTTCACTTTAGATTGTATCTGAGTTTTGTCATGATTAGCTTTGAAGCCTATGTACTTGAGTTTTGTCATGATTATCTTTGAAACCTATGTTTTCAGTAATGCTGGCTACTTTTTGAGTATATTCCCAAACTTTCATTGTTTATGTGTACTGGCATATCATTCATGCATGGTATAACATAACACATTCTGATGGTAATTCCATGCATATGTGTTGTATTTGATCAGAAAGTCTGAAGGAACATGGATGAAACAACCTTACTTTCTCTTACAGCTAAGTGTTTGTTGTTACCAGCTCTGCTCTGTCAGTGGAATTGCAAAGAAAGCACTGGCTAAATCAGTAACAAAATAGTCAAATAATCTGCTTAGTGTTACACAAATTTCATGCACACAAACAACCTGAGAGATAGCTACATTATTTAAGTGTTAAAAATCTCACTTTTAGCTTTTTTTCTTTGCTTTTAACCTTGGACAAATAGGATGTTAAAATAATAGCTTTCTGTACTAAGATTTTGCCTACCAGTAAACTTGTTGATGGTGGATTGGAGTCCTTCCTTTGCCATTAAAACACAATTTCTATTTTTTCACATTTTAAATTACAGACACACAAAACTTGAGGAAATTCTGTTACCCAAATATCCACTGTTTTTGCTTCCTCCGGATTCTTGATAACAAAGCATCAATGACTTGCAGGAATCACTCCACCCTCACCTCCCACTGGCCAGGCCCAATTTCACAAACATCCGTAGCAAAATCTGTAGCTAATCCATTTTGTTTTTACAAGGCTGTGCCAATAATTCCCTGGTGTTCCTAAGAGGGATCCTCCCATTCCTGAAGAAACAGGAGAAGGAGACTCTTGAACTTGGCAGCTATTTAACATCAGGCAGAGATCTTAATACAGGTACTTGAACATCCATTCATGCATATAATGCAGTAAGTTTTATCATTTTCCCTATTTCTTGGGCTACAGCTGGAACAAATATTTGTTGAGGAGAGTGGTTATTGACATTACAGTATCAATTAACATCATGGCACTAGTGGTAGCTAGCATTCTTCCCTTGACCAGCCAGTACTGATATGGTTATTGGCCATTTCCATTGGTTATATTGTAATTTTACCACTTGACCAGGGGCAAATAGACAGCAGAGTCTCCCCAGTCTTTGTTACTGAGAGGAAGAGATGATGTCTGAGGGCTTAGCTGAGAGGGACCTATTATTTTCTGTAGTTTTCATTCTTCATGATTTTTTATTTGCTTGACAAAATGAGCCAGCAAGGAATTTATGTATTCTATTCTATTTTCTAAAATCTATTCCTCTTTTTCTCAAATTTTACCATGTTTTCTTCCTGAATTTTCATCGATGTCTGCAAAAGGATGTTTTTACCATGTTCTCCAATAATATTTTGCAGTTACCATTACCACCACTTTTTACATAAAGAGCTTAACCCACACTGAAGACTGTTTTTTTCCTTTTCTGTCCCTTTTTATTGTTATCTTAAATGGAGACTGTGGGTCATTTAAGGCTGTATTTCTGAAAATTACAGTCTGTAATGTCTACAGTTTGTAGACTGTTTAGGAGACCCACAGAACTGGGATTTCCTTGTATTTTTTCTTACCTATGTTACCTTGTCCATTTTCCTTGTCCATGCCTGCTGAAGCTGAATTTGCACCTCTTTCCATTGTAGCTCTGCTTGATTCCCAAGTCTGATAATTGATCTTGCCAGCTTAAGTCTTGTACCACTGCTACATGAAAGACAGTGGCTCTATTTGATCAGATACATTCCGAGATGACAATACCAACAATTATCCCAGGATTCACAGTATTTTACAATCTCATAGCATTCTAAGTGGAATAACCTATTAGCCAAGTCTCCTGTCATTGTTTAGATAACTGTTCTGAGATATCTACCTCCTGAATTTCTTACAGAAATTTAGATATTGTACCTGCAGTAGAGATGATAATCATACTCCATTCTGAGGCTGTGCCATCTTTAGTAGTTAAGGAAAGCTTTAGTCCCAAAAGCCCCATTTTAAAAGTTTCTGAATTCAGTGGCCTCAAGTTTTAAGCAAATACTCTTGCTTGCTCTGCAGACAGGTCAGCTGCTATTGTTATAGTAATCTCCCACATTTTAGGAGCAGCACAACCCAAGCAGGAGTAACCAGCGAGGTGTATTCTTTTTGTACCACTGTTTTGGTTAGAACAACATAACTAGATCATAAAAGCCTATTTTGTTGCCACTTTAACCTGAATTTTCAGTATAGTTGTGGTCTGAGTTTCCCTTATATCTCTGTATGTATAGTTGACAGTTGTGTTCTGGGTGACTGGGGATGAAGTAGAATGGCTTTCTGAGTGTGCAAAAATCCATCTGTGCGGTAGAGGTTTCAGGGTGTGTCTTCAAGTTAGTAAATGGTTCACTGGAAAAACTATAAGGTAAACCTAGCAATCAGAAACTGAGAATCTACTTTTAAACACCATTAGACTAGTATTATACACCCAGATCTGAAGAGAGACAAAAGCCTGAATGTTCTGATTATCAGCTAGATCAAAACTGATGCACAACAGAGGTAAGATTTTGGTAAGATTTGCCATTTTTTCCACTCATATTTTGCTGATATAGAAGATATACATATATATATCCCCTTTTCTGTTGTTCACCCCTCTTTTTTATGTATTCATCTAAATATTATGAAGAAGAAGGGGATTTTTCAGAGTTGAACAATGTAATTATTCTTTTCTTCTCTTTCCTATCATGATTTAACATTAATATGAGTCATCTGATATGGCATGACAATCAGGTCCTTACGTGTCCATGTGATCTGTTGGGAGGAGATCAGTTTGCTTAGTTTACCATTATCAGAATAGCCACTACTATGAATATTGAGGTAGCACAAAGGATGTTTTAATGACAACCATAGTGGTGGCACATAAAAAAGGAGCAAGATAACTTTTACTGTTCTTGGGGTTAAAATATTTATGGGGAATATCTTGCTATGAAATTTGATGTAAGCATTATTCTGTTTGCCCAACTTCACCCTTTTGTGAAACAGAGGAAATTGTCAGTTCTAGTGATAGATAATGGAGCAAGGTGAACTCTGGAACAAATTTAATGCAATAACATAATCCAACCCCCAGTGCATGAAAAGACCATGCACTCACGATGACTTAGGCTTAGCTTAATTTTTAGGCCTTAAGGAAACATGTACACATGCTTTCCCTAAGACACCTACCACTCTTAAATAGTTCCATTTATTTGATATATGAATATAGGTGGACATCTATTAGGAAAGTAGGTCGTAAGTCTGTTCTGTGGAACAATGCATCACACCAGTATTCAGAAAGAGATTTTGTCATTTATGTATTTGGAACAAAATAAAGTAGTGTATTTAAATAATTTTTGTTCTTGAAAACATACCATTTCATATACACGTTAGATTATGCCATTAGTGTGTGAGAAATTTTTCTAGTCCTGTCACACACAGTAATAAGCATCTTTCTTTGCTAATGTGTTGCTGAGGTGTTCCATAAATAACCTAGGCTGATACATTCTCCTCCCTCTTGTGCACCATACCATGGAATCATTTTCATTACAGGACTTGGCCTGGTTCTGCTCACACCTGCTTATAACTTCCAGCGCAGTGGATGTCTTCATGGACTGATTGTCAGCCATGCGTGATCACTGCAGAAATCATTTGTCATCTTTAGGGTGTGGGATAATTTAGCAATATATCCATCTTCAGACACCATGAAAAGTCCTATAATTTGTCTTTTGCAAATGGCCCATGACATGGAGTCACTGCCAGGCTTTTTCTTCTATTGGTTAGATAAAAAGATCTTTTTGCATGCCAAGTCCCATAGATACTCACGAGAGGTAGTGTAAAAAAGATCAGTTTTCTAAATTTGGTTCTGCTTCATAGTACTGACTATTCAGAGAACCCCAGAGGATGCTCCCATTGAGGAATCTCAGTAGCATTTAATAAGCATACCTTGCCCACAGGGAATCTCTGAATCCTTAGGATATTTGCCTTAGGTTCCCTAATTTCTGCTGGAACAGCATTCCTTGTGTGCCAGGTGCAGACGATGAATGCAAGGAGAGTAGATTTGTTCTTACAGTAAGGGGTATCTTGGTTTGACTAGGTGCTTGAATGAGGTGCTGAGAATTGCTTTCTTGGATGTTTTCCAGACTGACAAACTCATGTACTCTCAGTGAGTGGCATTATAGAAACAGGACTGCTCTGAACACCTTACTTAATCAGGGTGAGCTGTTAATCATTCGTGATTTATTGTTGACTATAAAACCAAATCAAGGAATTAAATTTGCTGTTGTGACACTCACACAGGGTCACGTGTCATTGCATGAAAGCAGAATGTAAACTGCACAGAGGTCATGACAGGGCTGAGTCAGAAAGGAGGATGTCTAGAGTGCAAAGAGAGAGGAGGTTGGAATATGAGCAGAGATCACTTTGTTCCTTCAATTATAATTTTGTGGTGCTGCAACACTGTCCAAAGCCTTGTGATTCAAGGGTCCCCATGAATATCAACATCTGGGGAGCCACCTGCCAGTCTGTCTGGTTCTGACCTGCAGCCTTTATCTTCCATTCTGTCTGGGAAGTAGGAAGATATGTTGTGATTTCACTGTCCTCACAGGGAAGGGAAGGAACATTGAGGAAGACCTCTGAGGCTTGCTGATTAGTTAGATATCTTATATGGGTGCTTTCTTCTGTTTCTTGGGAGGAAGGTCTGAATTTCCTAATATTATTAATATGAGTTTGGCCATGATTAGCACTTCTTAAGTTTCATTGATTGCATTACTGTTTAATATGTTATGTCACTTTTATACAAAGTTTATACTTAGACAACAGTAAAAAATGAATAAGAAAAATGCCCTGAAATCTGGATTTGCTATGCAAAGTCTAATAAATTCAAGTTTCAGTGGGAAGCGTATGGGAAAATGTTGGTTTTCCCTTAAGAAGGATAATATCTGCAGATAGAACTATAAACTTTGTTGCAATCAAAATACATTTTAATGATGTTATGATGAATTTATGGAAATTAAGATTAAAGATCCTGTATGGAATTAGGGAAATGGGGACTTAGAGAAGATGCAGGTAGATGAATCAGACATGAGAGTATCTAATCTGAGTCACTAGAAAGACTAATTGCCTTTTCAGTTACTGTAGCCACAATGTAGTTGGTCACAAAAGAGAGAAATCTGATTTTGTAATTGCTGGAGTCCTGCATGGTGAAGAGCTATTTCCTCCAGTCTCTTTAGGACTGTTTCTTGCAAAAGGATCACATGCAGACATATCTTGATGTCATAACTGGAATCTTCCTGGGGAGTCTCCCTGGATTGCTGTCAGGCATCATAGGTGTTGACATGTAAAGTAGAGGTGTGTGGCATGTGGAAGATGTTTCTGGAAGCAGAAATTACATGAGGGAGCATTACCTCTATTGTCTGTGGTTATGGCTGTTTGAAAGTTTTGGAGCCTATGAATTTGTGTCTGTGTATCCAATTGCCTGTAGAAACACATTTACCTTAGAGTGCACTATCATTGTTTCACAGTAAACATCAAAAAGGAACAAGGCAATTTGATTGTGGTTAAAGATAGCATGCAGAATGTGGTCACAGTGACATAAGCAATGTCTTAAGAGAGGATTATTTTTGGTCATTTCACCGCAGCTACAAAATCCAATGTCTAAGATCAAATAAAATAAGTAAGTATACTTCCATGCTGCCACAGAAAATGGAAGTCAAATTACTTACAGAAATTAGAAATATTTACCTATTCTTGAAATAACCCCTAGTTTGGGGCTACTTTCCTGAAAACAACCCAAATCTTTGGCATAGTTTGTGTCCAGAGGATAGTAATGTCAAAGATCAATAGAACCAATTCTGCCCAGAGGGGTTATAGCAACTGGGGGATGGGGGGAGGGGGGATGAGGGTGCAGGGAGGTTTGTTTCTTTTGGTTTGGGCTTTGGTTTTCTTGTTTTTGTTGTGGTTTTTTTGGGTTTTTTTGGTTTTTTTTTGTTTTTTTGAGAGACAACAGGCAACACTTGTGAAAGCAACATTAAAATTTTGAAAGTACTGTAAAGTGAAGTGGAAGAAGTTCTTCCTATTTGTTGTGGACAGGGAAGGGGTAACAGGTCTAACTTGTCTCAAGGACAATTCATTTTTGACATCCAAAAAACCTCCAAGTAGTTCAGGGTAGGAGCGGCAGGGGGTAGGACAGTCGGGACAGACAGAGACGAGAGATCTCTGAAGCCAGGTCTTGGAACTTGCGGTTTATTGCAGAGGGCGTGGGCGCAGGGGCCCTGCTTGGAGCTGCCAGCCACAGCTCGGAGCAGACCCAAGAGAGAGAGGTAAAGAGAGTGGTAGAGAGAGAGAATGAGAGAGGAGGAAGAGAAAAGAGAATGAATGCAAGAGCGTGGTAAAGAGAGAAAGAATGAATGGCTCCCGTTACAATACAGTAAGTCTTCTTCTGTGTTGAATATTCTAATTCTTACTAACCAATCTAATATAAGATACAAATCCTATAGCACTTACATCTAGCCTATACGAATACTTAAATTGCCATACTGTGTTACATTTTAAACCCTAAAAACTACTCTTTGGACCCCTTCTGCCAAGCTAGGATGGTCTGCTCTGACCCTTGGACCTGTCTGCAAGCAGAGGGTATTGTTCCACCAAAAGGAGATTACCTTCAGCCAGCCATACCATTGTTTTCCAGTTGTTCAGTAACTAAGGTATCTCAAAGCTTACTTTCATTTCAATCTTGCTTATCGTTTCCATCTTCTCAAAATCTTTTGCCAGGCAATCATATTTATAAGGCTTTCCTGTTTCATCTTCTTCAACAGTTCAGATAGTCTGAAGTTTCCCTCTTTGCTTTTGGAAACTAACAGTGGAGGTACAGAATTCAAACACCTGTTAAGAAATTAATATGTAATATTTGATGTGATCTGAAGGAGGGAGGATGGACAGGATGGCATTTTGACTTTATATGTCTTCCACATACAATGAACTGTAGCTATAGAAATAAAAACTTGAAATTCAGTATTACTGGGAAGAAGCTGAATGGGAGGTTTTTCAGTCTCATAAATTCCTGTGTGATCTAGACATTTCACACACAGTATGGAATAGAATGCAAGCAGTTAGCAAATATGGCTTTGAATAGTATTGTACAAGGGAATAAGTCAACAGCTTTGATTTCTGCATAAAATATAATATCAATGCTCTTACATATTTCATTTGTAGTGAAACTCCTTTTGTAAACTCCTTTTCTTGTTTTTCAGGTGTTCAGCTGTCTGTGATCCAAGACAGAAGTGTAACCATCTTTCAGACTTTTGAGAAAATTGCCTAATTTGGAGCAAGAGATGCAAAGAAGTTGATAAAACTGGGGTTCTGCAAGGTAAGAAAGGTTGCAGACAGGGGTAAGTCTCTTGAAATGGAGTTAAGCAGCAGTTTAGGGATTCAAGAGAAAAAAATATCATCATGAAAATAAATAAAATCCTAAGGGAAAAGCAGGGCTTTGGAAGTTGGTAATTCAGTCCCAATGAGAATCCATTCCAGGGGCAGTAGAAACCAGCTCGACCTTACCTCATTGAGGACTTCTTAGCCCACAAAGATTTTCCCTGTTTCTTGCTTCAGAGCATTGGATATACCAACACTCAGTTTAATATTTCATTAATTCAAGTTATCAAAAAATGGTGATGTATGGTAACTAATCAGTAACTGCTGAATACTTTTAAGCTGTGTGTATTCAGTTTACAAAGGGCTCTTTGTGCATGGCAAACAGTGGCTGTCCAATCAAAGCCACTCAGCGAGGGAAGGATTACTTGTACTGTTACAATGTCACCAGACATATCCTTGCCTAGAAAAGTTATATGGACAAAAAATTGGACATGTCATATTTATTATATATTTTATTCAGATTTAAGTGGGAAAAATGTTTTCCACCTGCACAAAAAGTAATTTTGTTTATCTTTTCCCATCAGTTTTCATTTGTAAAATAAAGTCCTGAATTTTTAAAGCCCTAATGTTCTGTATTATATTTCTTTAAATTAATTTTTTTAACTGTAGTAATAATATAACTTTAAATGCAGCTATTCAGCAAGTAATGATTATGTTTTCAGAAACAAGGCCGAGTTTGTAAAGCTGAAAACTAGCACATTAGTGGTAGAAATCCAGTGACATTGGTTTGTGGCAGTCCTCCTTATAAGAATAAAAAAATAACTCCAAATCAAATCACAGACAGTAAGAGTGAAGTTTTGTAATTTTAAAACACGCTTTTCAGAACAGAACATTTCCTTTTAAATACAAATAGAAGCTTGATGTTTACATTAACTTGATTTGTTCTCATGCTTCATCCAGGAAAAATAAAAGGTCCAGCAACTACAATAGGAATTATCCTGTAGCTGAGCATACAGCATAGTTAAAGGAAAGCAAAATTGTCTGTTTCTGACAGTATAATAATTCCCTTCATATAGGACCATTCTCACTGATAGAATGGTATTCAAGCTGGCAAAATCCCTTTACAGATTATGATCATTTTCCAGCCCTGATTAACAGGCTGCTAAAATACAGCAGGAGTTCTAGTACCATAAATCAGAGGTTCTTCACTGGTGTTCTGATTTTATGCTAGGGTTGAGTGTCATTGTGGATCGTTACAGAATTCCTGAAATTCTTTCTAGCATTTTGCCTACCTGACTCTTATTAGAAAAATCCAACTTTCCATCTTTAAAGTAAATAGAAGAAAAAAAAAATAGTTTATGTGATTTTCTCTGGTCACAGTATATGCAGACATTGAAGCATTTGCTTCAGTTTCTTGTCTTGTTTGCTAGTTTTGTGAGTAAGTATATAAAAAAGGTTAGCTTTTCTTGATATTGTTTAGAAATTTTGATGGTGTTGTGCCATCATTTCACAACAGTTTTTCTCTGATACAAAAGTTAGATTAATGTCTCTGTGTCAGTAGTTCCAATATCATATGTGATGTGCTGGCCTGCTTAAGATAAAAAAAAAGCATAGGTCTAATGTGTGATTTGTGGGATAAGATTTTCTCAACATAAATTATTTTTTAGAAGCATAAGTAGTTGAAACTTCACAACAAAACCTGAGAACCCTATTTTTCAAATGCCTTTTTCTGCAGTATCAGAAACTCATAGCTCATGATCAGTTTGTTAATAACATAATGAGACATTTTGACACAAGAAGGATGTTGGATAAGTAAATTTAGATAATTAAATACATGGAAACAGTCTGAAATAATTAATAGTGAGTATGGTGCATGATGATCTGTATATACCTAATTTAACTGCAGCCCAAAAAATTATGTTATGATCATGCAAACTGCAACTTAAGAGTTATACTGAAAAGTCTGGTGAATGGTCTGTAAGAGTGCTGACTCAAAGAATGATTTAAGGTGCAGTTTATTGTGCCAATACAATCTCTCATTATACTGGAGTGCCCAAGAGAGATTATTCAAACCATGCATTTATAACATGTGAGAGAAAGGCATTAACTGTGCTTCAGTCTGCAGAATCAACGTTGACAGAACATTTCAACATATTTCACACACGTAAAAATTATTTATGCTTAAAATTCTAAAAAATATGTGTGAATATAATGCAGAAACAATAAAAGTATATTAGGCAAAGGGAAATTGACTATTATCATAATAAAGAGGGGATTGAGTAAACCTTATGAATATATGTAAGTATTTTCACATAGAAAATATATCTGATGATGCAGAGCTTCACAGAAATTATAATATCCAGGAGGTATTGTTCTATCTTCAACTAAACAATGTCTGTGAGGGGAAATGGAGCATAGAAGCAGTTAGCCAATAGGTGTAACAAACTTATGACCACTTGTAATTTTTAGTGTAAAATTAGAAGTTTTTCTCTTTTACAGGCATTGCTTTAGACAACACCAACTTACCTGATCTCATGAGTCGTTTTACTGAACTTTCAACTGGCTAAAATCTCTTAAAACATTTACTCCATAACTCAGTAAAGGTCACTCTTTGAGCTGCAGTTGTCATTATCTTCATAAAATCCCACTCATCCACTGTTGGATAGGGCTGAAATGGACATGTAGCAGAGCTTTATATAGTCCAGGTGGATGAAACTTATCAGCCATTCTTTATTTGCTTCTTCAACAAGGGATTTGAATTGTCCAACAGTTCCCATATTACCAGATCTCTGCTTTTAATCATAGTATAACAAACTGGGTTGAGAAGGAATTTTAAGTTGTTTATGAGCCTTAAATAGCTCAAAGGTCATAGATTGGTCATCTCTGTTTAAATCCCGCTTCTGTAAGAAATTTTGTGACTAATAAGTAGAAGTTAAAAAAAACAACAAAACATTTTCTTTCGTCTTGAACTATTGAATGATCAGGACACTCTGCTTTCAAGACATCCTTACTTAGCTTCTTGATACACACAATGTCTATACAAGATTTCATGCTTGAAGTCTTTGGCCTAAAGAATTAAAAATTCCTCCTTGATGACATCAATGATTGGGTAAAGCTGAGCATAAGCTGTTGATGTAACCAAATAACTGATCTGAGTTTTCAAACACTGGCTTTATGAATCCTGCTAATGTATTTAGGGCAAAACCAGTCGCCAGACTTTGGATGAGAAAGTATTTCTCTTTGGATTAGACTGACTGGAACTTACATTGTTTCTAGGTGGTTTCGTACATTTTGGTTGTAAATCAGTTACTATGTTCACCCACACTATTTTTATATAGTCAGGTAATGTGCAACGGTGATGCCTCAGATTCTACTGTTGTTGATTTATTTTACAGATTTAATCTCTTCAGGCTGAAATTATATATTCTCACCCAAATTATCAGTTTTAAACAAGATATGAGAGATTAGAAGAGAGGTTTAGTGGTCTTCTCTGATTTCAAATTCACTGCAATTGTGGAGCTATGTGACTGAACAAACTACAGAAGCTATAGAGAAGTTACAGAATTTTGTATCTTATTAAGTAGATGTGAAATACTGTACTTCCCCAATTTTCCCACTTTTAAATATCAATTTAGTTCATTCAGCTCCTAGTGTGATAAAACCACGTATTTTATTTTCTTTGCATTACTGTATGCAGGCAAGAGAAACTCTGGTAAAAATTGCTCTTGTGTTTTATTTCTGTTTCCGTTTCTTATCATGATTGCACTGCAATACCATTGAGACATAGCAATGAGATAACAGAACATTCTGACAGATCTTGTAGTTCTCTCTATTTTCTATTTAAGGCAAAACAGTTGTGAAAGAACTGCATATATTATTCCTTTTCTCTCTCTCTTTTTTTTTTAATCAATTGACTTTTCTTTAAAGATTCTTACTTTAGTTTTTTTGGTTCCCACTGAAATAATTGGACCAGTCCATTAAGATGAAGTCCAGGAAAGCATTTAGGGACACAAGTTAAAACCCAGTATTCCCATTAACTGCTGTGGATGGCCTTCTATATAAATATATCACAATGACTTTTGATAAACATATTATACTTATTAACTCTTTATATTCTGCTTGACTGGCAATGATGAACTATCCTTTCTAAAGTAATCCTCAATCTGATAAGGCTATCTTTATTCCAAAACTTTATAAAAATACTATTTCGCTAACATTTTGAGATTACAGGAATGCATGACAAAAAAGAACAAAAATAATTTCTTCTGGGTAATTATCAGATTAAGTAAATTTTGTAAGTAAAGTGATAGAAGACCTACAGAAAAATTCATGTAAACCTACTTGTCTTCTAGGACAAGCATTTTTATTTAATTTTTCCTAAATTTTACTTCTGTGTAAGTTTTGAACATGTCTACTTTAATACATATATTGAAATAAGTGCAAATGATTTATTTAAGTGTTTAAAATATTTGTTATTTTCATTGAAGTAATGCCTACAGATACTGATAAAAACAATGCATTCCACAATAAAACAAATGGCCCATTTCAAACAGTTTAGAATATAAACATACATTAAAAAAACCAGAATACTAGTTAAGCACATTTCTGCTGACCAGAGCTGTTTCCAAAACACTTCTAAACTGATTCTGAAACTCATCTTGCTGTTCTGCAGTTACTCAGTATGTGCTATAGTAAAATCCTGTTTTCTTTCATGCTAGATGGGTAATGTTCTCCTGGATTAGATTTAGAAGACGGGAAAGGAAGCAAAAGACTAAAACAATGTTTTGGTGTTACCTGGTTTCATTCTCACTGTGTATTCAAGAATGGATTCATCCTTAAGTGCAACAGTTACTTCGAGCGTTCAGCAACATCTCTAATAAGGTAAAGAGGAGTTCCTTTCAGTTTTAGGGGCATAACTAATACAACAGTGCCTATAACAGGGAACTTTTTCTGGTGGAAGAATAAAATATTCAGGCTTGTTTTCCCAGGTGACAATGAAATGTGCATGCATTCGAGGACCAGTGTTATTCCCTTTAGGAAAAGGGAGGTACAGTCCAAAGTGCATACACTTTACTATCCAAGATAAGCGAGGTTATTGGAGTGGGAAAAAAATCCAAGAGAAAGCTATTTGTTATGTCTGTCTTACATAAGAGGAGCAAAGTCCAATCATGCTGCATGTCCTTAACCATATTAATTCTACTCAGGTTTGAATAATTTTTCAGAGGAGTAGACACAAGCCGGGAACAACCTTTCACGGTATGTCAGTGGTTTGGAGGGGTTTTTTTACACCTCTAATAAAGTGAATTTTATAAATTCACTGAAAACTAAAACAAATCTAATTAATTGCATATTCTTTTAAATACACATTTAATTTTTCATTTATTTTGTATATCTGTGCTTCTTTGCAGAAAATATTATTCTTATATCATTCAAATGAAATTCAATAAATGACAGAGTTATCAAATGGGTAAATACAGAATATAAATGTTTGTAAGGAAACTCCATACTTCTGGACTTCTTTCGATATTCTTATATTTCTGCATTATGAATTTTCACTTTGCAATGTGTGATATTAATAATTTTACTGATTGTAATAAGTACCCTTATTTTTCTTTCAAACAAATGATTGTTGAGATTACTGTCCTCAGCTTAAGATTGTGTATATCTCAGTCAAATATTATTTTACAGGAAACTATCTTCAATAAATGTAAAATGCATTCTGAAGAAGAGAAGAAGTATACTGCAGATGGAAATAGTCATGAGATCGCTGCATCCAGCCAGGATCATGAATCTGAAGACAAACAGTAAGTATTCTTAAATATAGTAAACATTATGTATTGAAGCTTATTAGACTCCATTACCTCGGTTTATATTTTATTGAAATTCGTATTTAAGTCTTATTTTAACTGATTTTGCTAGGAAGACCTAGTAAGAGAAAGCTTTGTATCAACTTAAGATTAGCATTGATTGGCACATTAATTTAATGCAAAAGGACTACTTATTTTTGCCTTTAAAGTGTCCACAGTATTGACTAGAAAAACAGTTCTAAAATATGACAGAAATTATGTTGGAATGGAAACATTGGATACATTTATGTCATCTACTAAAAATTATCTTAATATTTTTAGTACAGCAGTCAATCAACATTTTACATACCTTGAACATGTTATGTATTCCCTATCCACTATGTACAAAGGTTTTCCTCGCTTGTGTTTTCAAATCTATACAGTGCTTTAGTTCACAACTTCCCTGACCAGATAGTGGAACCACCACCCCACTGGTGTTGTTTCATCCTTGAAGGGATAAACTGGGAAGAACATGACTTAAATTTACAGAAGTTAGGAGGTGATGCTACTTATATTGCTGAAGATTTAAATAGAAACATCTCAAGAATGCCCAATAAATCATGTTCATTTTACACAATTGATTGCTGTAAAATGATTTCAAAATTATAATATAATTGAACTGTACTAATATGTTGAATTAGTATTTCTGCAAAATGAGGTCCATTTTAAAATTCACTAAAGCTGCCACACTTTTTTTAGCAGGGCAAAGAAGAAGCAGAAGAAAGGGGAAAAACCTAAGGTAGTGAGCCCATTTGCACTGGTAAGGTTTATTCTCTATATATGTGTCTACATATACATACACACAGGCACATTTCAAAGTGTAATCAAAAATGGTTACAGTTATGTTAGTATCCTGCATATATGATGCTGTCTCTACCAAATATGTTCATGTACAGAATGTTGGCTATAGTATAGAAATCAAGCAGTTCTTTTTGTGAATGTAGTTGTACTAAAGAAGCTGCCTTTTACAGATAAGTATTCTTAGGAGTGTTCCCTTGGTAAATTATTATCTTAAACACGCCCATACCAGATATTTGTTTGTGAAAGATAGGAATTTCCATGTTCACAGCGAGAGGCGTGACCATATACCTACACTGAGTGTGGTCTTGTCCTCTAAATTACCAGAGTCAGGTACTAATCACACTAATTATCCCCATGAGTCATTATTCAATCACCTGAGTCAGCAATAAAGGGAAATTCCATGCCACTGATGAAAATTAAAATTAAGAATTGTATGCTAAAAGGTTCCAGATTCTTTAAAATTTTCTGTATGTTTTTTAAAAGACAACCTTTTAATATTTAGTCAAATAAATCCTAGGTCCTCTTTTAGTCATACTGAAATATTTTATATTTTGTATGTTTAGTGTGTGTAATACACAGCAATGACACTGCAAAGAACAAACATAAAACTATAGTACATGATGGCGGCCAGTGCTCAATTTCTTTGCTTTGCTATATCAGTTTACACTAGTACAATTACATCATACAACTATAATTTACATCATTAAACTCAGTAGTTTACAGTAGAGAATAAACCAAATCATTTTGTAATAGATGACTCAAGCTTTATTAAGTTCAATGGCAAGAGGATGTGAGATTTCAATACCTTTTTATGATGTCTACAATACATTAGGAACAGTTTTTCTGCCTGCATAATAATGAATTTACAGTAAAAGCAATTATTGCCTTAGTTATCATAACACCATTAAAATTCATTGTAATTTGAACTTTAAATGGCAAATTTTAAAAGCATACATTTTTTTATGCCTTGTTTTCCTATGGTCTTTATTACCCAGGTGCAGATACTAGTGTATTAAAATGCCACATCTCTCTGGTTTTGAGAGTTTATAGTATAAAAGTTCTTATACAGAAAGTATTTATTCCTGTACATTTAAACTGTTTTTAAACTGTATTCCTAAAAAGATAGAGTTGTAGGTTTGGAACAGCAGGTGTACAATTTATAGCTTTTTTCTTTACTTTCTTGACTTTCTAGACATAGCATTGTGTTAGCATTCTAATGCAAGAGTTAGAATGAATTTCTCTTCTCACTCACAGTTTCGATACTCCAGCTGGTCAGATAAATTATTAATGATACTGGGCACTCTGATGGCAATAGCCCATGGAAGCAGTCTCCCTTTTGCAATGATAATTTTTGGTGATATGACTGATAGCTTTGTTGCATCTGGAGACACAAATTTTACAGGTAAGAATATATCTGTTATGACAAGAACAATGTCTCCTATTTAGAAAAGAAACAGGAAGATTCACGCATCTTGGCATGCGGTACAGATGTCAGAAACCACAATGCTATACTATGATGCAAATTAGTAGCTCGTGTTCATCGTAATAGAGATACACTGTGGTTGGGGTGACATTGTAGTGGGAGTCCCCTGTAGGCTGCCTGAGCAGAAAGACCGAGCAGATGAGGTCCTCTGTAGACAGATTGGAACAACCTTGCCTTCACAAGCCTGGTCCTCATGGGGGTCTGCAACCCCCCCAATAACTGCTGGAGGAACAACACCACCAGGCATAAGCAGTACAGGAGCTTCCTGGATTGTGTTGATAATAACTGCAAATGATAGAGGAGGCAGTGAGGAGAGGTGCTATGCTGGACCTTGCTCTTGCTAAAGAGGAGGGACTGGTGGGGAATGTGAACCGGAAGGGCAGCCTGGGCTGCAGTGACCATGAAATGGTGGAGTTTCAGGGCAGAGAGGAGGGAGGACAGCAAGATCACTGTCTAGAACCTCAGCAGAGCAGGCCTGGACCTCCTCAAGGACCTGCTTGGTAGAGCACCATGGGATAAAGCCTTGGAGGGAAGAGGAGCCCAAGAAAGCTGGTTGATATTCAAGGATGACCTTCTCCAAGCTCAGGAGCGATGCGGCCCAACAAAGAAGTCAGGCAGAAACACCAGAAGGCCTGCATGGATGAATAAGGAGGCAAAATCAAACAAAAAAAGCAAGCCTTGAGAGGGTGGAAGCAAGGAAAGGGAGCTTGGGAGGAATACAGAATAACTGTCCAAGAAGACAGGGATTCAGTTAGGAAAGCTAAAGCCCTGATAGAATTAAATCTGCCCGGGGATGGCAAGGGCAACAAGTAAAGCTTCCATAGGTAGGTCAGTGGTCAAAGGGAGATGAGAGGAAATATGGGCCCTCTCCAGAAGGAAAGGGTTACTTGAGATATGGAAAGGGTTGAGTGACTCAAAGGTTGCCTCAGTCTTCACTGGCAGATATTCCAGGCACACTGACCAAATCACAACAGGAAAGGCAGGGACTTGGAGAATGAAGAACTGCCTGCTGTAGGAGGTCAGGTTTGAGAATATCTAAGGCTTCTGAAGGTGCACAAGTCCATGACACCTGATGAGATGCATCTGTAGGGCCTGAGGGAGCTGATGGAGGAAGTTGCTAAGCCCCTATCCATTATATTTGAGATGTAATGGCAGTCTGATGAAGTTCCCACTGACCAAAAAAGGCAGAAACATAACGCTCATTTTTAAAAAGGGAGAAAGGAAGACCCAAGGAAACTCCAGGCCAGTCAATCTCACCTCTGTGCCCAGCATGAAGCAGATCCTCCTGGAAACTGTGCTAAGGCACATGGAATATAAGGAGATGATTGATGATGGCCAACATTACTTTTTTAAGGGCAAATAATGCCTGACAAATTTGATGGCATTTTAAGACTGGGTTACAGATTTGGTGTGTAGGGAAGAGCTTGGACATCATCTAGCTGGACTATCTGCAAAGCATTTGACACTGTCCCAATCAACATCATTCTCACTAAATTGGAGAGGCATGAGTTTGATGGATGGATCACTTGGTGGATAACAAATTGGCTAGAGGGTCACACTCAAGGAGTTTTCCAAGTGGAGACCAGTGATGAATGGGTTCTTCAGGGGTCAGTATTGGGACTGACACTGTTCAACACTTTGTCAATGACATGGACAGTGGGATCAAGCGCACCCTCAGCAATTTTGCCAATGACACCAGGCAGTGCAGTGCAGTTGACGTGCTCGAGGGAAGGGGTGCATCCAGAGGGAACTTGACAGGCTGGAGAGGTGAGTTTCTGGGAATCTCATGAAGTTCAACAAGGCAAAGTGCAAGTCCTGCATGTGGGTTGGGGCAATCCCAAGCGCAAATACAGTCTGGGAGAAAAATGGTTTGAAAGCAGCCCTGAGGAAAATGATTCGAAGATGGCTCAACATGAGCCAGCACTGTAGGCTTGCGCTTCAGGAAGTGATATCATGGGCTGCATCAAAAGAACTGTGACTAGCACAAGGAGGGAGGTGATTATACCCTCTCTACATCTCTCTGGAGTGCTGCATTCAGCTCTGGAACCCTCCACCATAAGAAGGATACCTGTTGGAGTAAGTCCAAAGGAGGGCCATGAACATGATCAGAGGATCCCTTATGAGGACAGACTGAGCAACCTGGGGCTGTTCACCCTAGAGAAGATTCCTGGGAGACCTTATATCAGCCTTTCAGTACCTGAAACAGGGCCACAAGAGAACTGGAGAGCGACTTTTTACAGCAACCTGTAGTAATCAGATGAGGGGTAATGACTTTAAACAGAAAGAGGGACAATTTAGATGAGATATCAGGAAGAATTTCCTCACTATGAGTGCGATGAGAGACTGGAACAAGTTTACCAGAGATGTGGATGCCTGATCCCTGGAAATGTTCAAGGCCAGCTTGGATGGGGCCCTGAGCAACCTGGTCTAGTGGAAGGTCTCCCTGTTCATGGCAGGGGGGTTAAAACTGGGTGGATTCCTTAAGGCCCTTTCCAACCCAAACCATTTTGTTCTTCTATGTGTGTATGCTCAGTAAGACTTTTTAATCTCAAATTACAGTGATGTAGTTTTGTAGTCAGTGGAGTTATGACTAACCCTGTGTTAGTAATGTTCATTCATATGCATTAAAATTTCCTCCTTTCTTCCAAATCATGTTGATTCAAAAGGAGATGTAGCAACTCCAGATATACTGAACAGCATGCAGGAAAACTAGTTTGTTAAATCTCGCTCTATTAAAAGTATTTACTCTTCTCTTCTTTTCTAAGGAAACAGTTCAATGAATTTCACTTCAGAAATGCTTCACAAGCTGGAAGAAGATATGACAAGGTAATTAAAAATTTATATTTCCTCTTCTTTTTTTAATGTAGCCACACATTTCTAGTCAAGCCATTCCTCTCTCAAGGATGTTTTGCACATTTAAACAACATAAAAGCAATTGTGTAACTAAAGATTGGTACAAGGGATTATTTGAGATCCTGGTAAGATTCTTGAACATTCCCAGCTATTCCCAACTATTTCCCTGTAATCTCTTGCTCTGACCCATCCTGATGCATTTCAGGGGTGTTCTGTATCCCAGTGAAATCTGCATTACCTTCCTTCTTTCTTCTCTTCCTCTGAATTCATAAAGAGTAATTGTTATGATAAAAAAATATATTGATTATAATCTGTTGATAAACTGAGCTGTGGTGATTCACTTGCAAAAAAAAAAAAAATTGAATTGTCAGGTAGTACTTACTTTGCTGCCACAGCATCAAGTTCAGCTAAATCACTCTCTACAAGTACCTGAAAGGAGATTATAGCAAAGTGGGGTTCAGTCTCTTCTGCCAGCTAATAAGCAACACAACAAAAGGAAAAGGCCTCAAATTGTGCCAGGGAGGTTGGATGTTAGAAAAAATATCTTTGTGGTAAGGGCTGCCAAACGTGGGAACAGGATGCCCAGGGATGCGGTTGAGTGACCGTCCCCCACAAAAGATTTGTGGATGTGAGACTGAGAGACATGTTTTAGTGATCGATTTGGCAATGCTGAGTTAATGGTTGGATTCAAATATTTTAGAGATCTCTACCAACCTAAAAATTCTATAATTATCTAGACTTGCAGACTGTAGAAAATGCAGATTCAGATTATATACTACCTTAAATCTAGCATTCCATAGCTGGAAACAGCAGAAGACAACAGCCAGTAGGTGCTTCCGCTACAAAACTCCATAAAGAAAAGATTGAATAAGAAGAAACATAAGCTACTAATAGATGTGTTTTGTTAAGAGTCTTTATTAACCATTGTCCATACATTTGGTTTATGCAGGAAGTCTAAAGCTTGTGTGTTTCTTGTACCACTTCAGGTTCTTTTCTTCAGGTTGAACTCTCTTCCTGATTAGATATTGAAAAATGTCTGATGTACTCTTCAAGGCAATTGTCTTTTTTGAAGACAAGGAGATAAGGCATTGTCTGTAGTAACTCTTGCTGGTTTATATCAAAGTGCATTATAATTTTGAGTAATAGTGGACTGTAAACTTATGTAGCTTCAGTAGTTAATTTTTGCAATTAAAAAACCTATGACTATTTACAAAAAAAAACCCAAACCAAAACATACTCAAACAACTCTTTACCATAAAAAAAAAAAATGAACAAGTTAGGAGAAGGCTGTTTCTTAGAAATGAAGAACATTAATGTAATGAGAATGAATCAAGAGGGAATTGGCAATTATGCTTCATAGGAGAATTTCTTGCTCCTGCAATATTTCTGTCAGTCTCTGACATGAATGTAAGTAATGCCTACAAATGCTCAGTGGAATATACTTGTTTTCAGTGATTTGAAAACAAATTTGAAGGCAGAATTGCAAATAAAATAATGTGTGGGTGGGTGAAGTTACCCTAACTGTTCTGTGTTTGGTAAACACCTAATGCCTAGCTGCACATTTTCAAACTCCGTCTCGAGTTTATTCTAAAAGAACTTTAAAAATAATTACTAGAAAATTGCTACATATGCAATTTTAGGATTTGTTTTGCCCATTATTTATTTGGTGAATGATCTCTCCCTGCCCTTATCTTGACCTACAAGATTTGAATTAAGTTTTTCTCTTCTGAGTCTAGCTGAGGAAGAGAAGTGGTAGTGTCCTCAGTGGGCACCTGGAATCCAACCAGGGTCAAACCACCACAAATTAATTCTGAAAGTACAAGCAAGAATAAAAGGCAGCCCTAGTTTCCCTTTAGAAACAAACTGTTCCCTGATAAATATATTAATAGCAGCACAAGAATGGGTGGTCTTTTCCAAATTTCTAGATAGAGCCTTGAGTTGGCATGTTCACCGGTGTGGCAAAGCTCTTTGCTCCAACTCCTTGTTTCTCTAGAACGCCTGCCAGCAGGTCAAATAATGATAGAAACTGTTTGCAAGGACAGAGTTCTCACACAGGTGTGTTCAAGTACTGAACTATACACGTGGACTTAGTCAAGTTTGTTACTCAAACAGTTTGCCTCAATGATAACTATTTCTCAAAAGAAAAAGAACTATTATTTTTCAATGCAACATGCATTTATTCTCTGATAAGTTGCAGCAGTGAATTTACAGAAAATATTCCATCGGCATGGAATCTGGCAAAGACATGAATCTCTTTGGATATGATTTGTCAGTAAACAAAGTCCAAGCATAAATCAACTATTTGAAGGATGTAGCATCATAAAGTAATTGTCTAAAGTAATTACTGCTGAATTTAGAATCTGTGTTCTTGGTTTAGTTTGAGAGGCTTTTTTTTTTGTTTGTGGAGTTTTAATGCAGCTGAATGTGACTGAGGTCAATATTCAACTAACCAGATTTCTGTTAGGCATTAACCTGATTTTTTTAAACAGTTTTGATTAAATGAATTTCATAATGAGTGTAGTTTCGAAGTCCCTAACTGAACTGTATGATATTACAGCCACAAGACAGATTGGAATAAAATTTGAGAAGTTTAATTCTTAAAGCCATTCTCTCTTAGAGCAGAGCATTTGCACACAGATTACTGAAATTTCTCCTGCCAAAGAGAAAATTCTCCTTTCATTTTAAAGTTCTATAAAATCAGTATGCATAAATTAGTAAAAGAGTCAAGGTCACGAGAGTTCACAAAAAGTCATGAGTCAAGTTTTTTGGTAATGGTTTACTTTTATGTAGATACATTATTCTTATAATTGCAGGTAATATACATCATAAATATTTAATCATTGATTTTGGTTGTGTTTTGCAAATGAAATCCATTAAGTTACATTTTTTTTATTCAGTTCTGGTGTAAGTTCAATTATAACTGATTCTGATGTAATTTTTCATCAAATCAAAATCTATTTTATTATTTTAAATAGTTCAAAGCTGTGACTCATATTTACTTACAGTTTGAGAAATATCGTGGTTCACATACTCCTGGTTTGGATTTGACACCCTGCTCATAGCACAGAACTGAATAAATGTAAAAATAAAATATCAGTTATGAATAAGAGATCCAAAGAATTTTTGATCTAATGTCATTTGTTTTCAGTAGCTGTAAGTATAGTAATGCTGTATTCTCAAATCAGGAAATATTTACTGCATCCATGCACTTATTTATTTATTTATTTATTTACATAGACAGATATGTTTGTGATTTAAATGTGTGTATAATATACATATATGTGATTTGATCTATCTATATGTGTTAAAAATGCTAGACAGTTTTTGGACATGACAGATTTAAGTGAAAAGGGTGTTGCATCAGAAATACAGTTCTAAAAGAATCTTATGAGAGAATATCTACTAAATTTTAAAAAAAGGTAATTTTGACATTAAATGCTAATCATGGAAAACTCAGCAAGTTTTACAGTGAAGTGTAAGTAAGTTTTAGTATAAGCATATAAACCCTAATTCAAATCAAACAAGAAAAGTAAGCATCATGCTAAATTCACACTTGCAAGGTAATTAAAACAATTTTAACCTGATTTCAGAGAATCTTGCCCTTTTTATTTTCTTACAGATATGCATACTACTATTCTGGAATAGCAGCTGGTGTTCTTCTTGCTGCTTATATTCAGACTTCATTCTGGACCTTAGCAGCAGGTCGGCAAATAAAAAAAATTAGAGAAAATTTTTTTCATGCAATTATGAGACAGGAAATTGGATGGTTTGATGTAAATGATGTGGGAGAACTTAACACTCGTCTTCTAGAGTAAGTACACTCTACCTTTCCCATATTATTTTATCTTGTTAGACATGCAGGACTTGGAAATTTTTATTTTTAAATTAAATTATTTCACTGAGAAACGAAGTTTTCATATTTCCTAACGGAGAATCTCAGGGATTGAATTTGTAATACTTCTGATACAGGACCGTCACAAAGATGTCAGAAGAGCATTTTGGTAAGTTCCCTTGGACTCCAAGGATGACTAAAGGATGACTAAAACCCAGCCTAAGTTATTACCCCATTAAGAGTTCATTTCTGGGCACAATGAGGACTGAAAAAAGTGCTGGCTCAGCCCAGGAATATGAATATGAATAGCTTCAACTGCATAACATTGCAGTTGCTAGATGAAATCCTTTACTTTTTATTTCCAAATAGCACACAAGTACCAAACTGATCAAAACTTTGGAATTAAGAAAGTGAGAGTAGTTTTACACTACTCTACACTAACACAGGAAGAATTTCAACTTTCCAGACAAAAGCAGGTTTATAGCATTACAGTTTCACAAGAAATACAAAATTTTCCTTGGCCACACTACATAATGCTTTACCTTGAAGAAAACTGTTACTGGAAGCAGTAATTGAATAATAGAGATTGTCTTCCATGTAACAAAACTGGAAAGCTTCCTTGTTCTTTATGCATTTTTCTTCCTCTCTGTATGTAATTTGTTTTTCAGTGATGTCTCCAAGATTAATGAAGGAATAGGTGACAAGATTGGATTGCTTGTTCAAGCACTAACAACATTTGTGACAGGATTTATTGTTGGTCTCATAAGAGGATGGAAATTAACCCTTGTAATACTAGCAGTTAGCCCCGTCCTGGGACTTTCAGCAGCCCTCTGGGCAAAGGTAAGTAAACATATGTACAGTGTCAGCTTTTATATTAATGACAGATAATGAAATAAATCTACATATCTGTAAGTCTTAGTATTAGAATGTGTTGCTTAGAGCAATTGTAGCTTTAGATAACACTTAGGTACATAAGCTCTTAGATGAACTATGTATCAGTACCCTCTCATTCAACACCCGGTCAGATGGGGCTCTGAGCAACCTGGTCTAGTAGAAGGTGTCTCTGCCCATGCCAGAGTAGCTGGAACTAGCTATCTTTAAGATCCCTTCCAAGGTCATTCTACTATTCAGTAATTCTATATAATTTGAATATTATAATTCCCATAGATCGGGCAGACTTTTTTGGTTTGAAGCTGTTTCTGCTTGTATAGCACATACAGAGAAAGAAGCAAGGTATATGTGTAGAATCCACACTTATAGCTCTTTAACTTACATCTGTATAAGTACTTTTTCTCTTGAAAGAAATAATTGCGCCTCCTGGAAAATAAGAAAATAATTTAGAAAAAACCTTTGTCTCAGACACAGTTTTTTTCATAGTTGTTAACAAATTTTGTAAGAAATTCTATACAGACCTAGATAAGAAAAGGTCCAAATTTCCATAGGACCAGAGTGCCTTACATTTTTAGTCTTCAGCTTTTTATAGTATTTTATTTCCCTTATATTTCAAAGATCATTAAAACTTTCACTGTCTTGAGTGAGTATATTGCAGAAAAGGTAGGATTAGAGATGTACGTGCCAAGTTTGTCAGCTGGCTGAGTCTTCACAGACTGTGGCCACTTCTTCACAGTCTAAGCTAAGGTCCTCCTAACAGGGTCCTCTGGCTAAGGCAGCCAGAGATGCGAATGAGCTAAGGAGGTGTGCCTGGGGAGAACCACACCAGCTCACTATGAGTACCCCTCTTATCTCTTGCACTGAGTGAAAGCAGAAGGGAAAGTCCAGGCCTTAGTTGTGTAGCGTGGAATTATTTGATTGAATTCACAGCATACTTAGGAATCTGGATATTGGATATTCTGCACCCATGCCTAATATAGTCAAAAGGCTTCATACTGGAAAATACTAATTGTGATAAAAGCCATTTTGAGTGCTTGAGTTTATTCTGGTTTTCATATGTCAAAATACTTGATTCTGTATTAGGTTCTCTCTGCTTTCACGGACAAAGAACAGGCCGCATATGCAAAAGCAGGTGCTGTTGCAGAAGAAGTTCTGGCAGCAATCCGTACTGTAATAGCTTTTGGAGGACAGGAAAAAGAAATTAAAAGGTAAGAGCAATATTTGCTTTCATCGGTGGATTTTAAAATACTCACTTCAAGTGGTTTGAGATTTTCTTGTACATTTTCTCTTGAAAGTCTTGTGCTTTCTGCAATTTTAGTTAATGAGAGGTTGTTAGAGGCTGTTACAAGGTTTGCTACATGTTGAAAAACAATTTGTTATTTTTCTAGAGTTGATATGTTGTCTCTGCATTAAAAGGTACGCAGGCTACTTCAAATATCTTACCATGAGAGGACACTGTTCTGTGAAGAGATGATGATATCCTTGGTAATCTAATCTGATTACTCAGTAGTTGTGAAGGTGCTGATGAACAGTGTCTCTATTTCCGCTGTACTGTAAAATATAGATCTGCTGATATATTTTAACCTTTAATCTTGAGTGGTTCACAATCAAAGTTCACTGATCTGCAGAAACAACGGAAATGCCAGTCCCTGGCCTGCAATGCCCTTTTATTTCTATATACCAAGTTGACTAATGTTGGCATTTTTAGGAGTTACCTTAGAAAGTTCATGCCTGACTAGCAGGCTTGCCTTTATACAGTCTTAGGGTTAGAAATTTTATGTACCTAACTGCTGTACTTTGTAAACATTCTTTTTCTGATCCATCCACAGAGTTTTTGTGGTGTCTGCCGTGGTACAAGTGTGAGTCTATTTTGAACTTCTATCTTTCTTCCAGATACCATAAAAATTTAGAAGATGCTAAACGGATTGGAATAAGAAAGGCTATTACAGCTAATATTTCTATGGGTGCTGCTTTCTTACTGATATATGCATCATATGCACTGGCATTCTGGTATGGGACTACTTTGATCTTAACTGATGATTACACTATTGGCAAAGTTCTTACAGTAAGTATTAATGAGTAAATTCTCACTTACAGCGAGAAATAAAGAACAAACATTAAAGTGTATATTTGACTGTAATAAGAATTATGTTACAAAATTGGCAAAGTAGCATCCCTTCTTAACAAAAAGATTCTCACCACAAAAGCCTACACGTTGTTTATATAGGATCTCAAAATCTATATGAACCCAATTAAAACATATATGGTTTTCAACTGTTCCTATATATTTTCTGACTTTCATAAGATCAGACTGATATAGAAACAGTTCAAGCAAAAACTGAAGTACAATACTCTTTCTGGTTGCTATTTGCTTTCAGAGGGCTGAATATATTTTCAGGGTGCAGAAACAAATACTTTTTTTTAATCTGTTGTGCAGTCTAAGTAGATAATTTTATTAATATTTATGTTATGCACCATGAGAGGTTGGAATCGCTTCTCAGTATTTTTAGAAATTGAGGGGGATAAAAATAGACTTGTGACTAAGGTATATGTCACCATCTAACTGAAGGAAGGAACCATAACACTTCGGTCATAACTTCAATTCTTCTCTTGGTGAGGAAACCATTCTAATTTTGCATGAAATATGAAGTAAACAGGGTAAAAAGAATAACTTTGTTAACCATGATGAAACTCAGCCAGTTGAACAGATGCATATATTTTTATATTTTTTAAATGGTTTTGTTTATGAATCACTGAAGTTTGTGGAAAACATCTCTGATATGTGGTTTTGGCTCTTTTGAATCTTTTGTACAGGTTGGCATATGGAACCTCTGAGTGAAGTTCATGACCTTATGTGTAATTTATTCTGTTCAAAGTATTTGCAAATTCTATTGCAAATTGTCTGTGTTGTAGTTCAAACAATGTTTTTACAACATGGATGATGCATTATCATGTGTAAAATCTGTGAATAACCCCTGTTCAAGAGGATGGGTGTGACAGACTTTGCTCTGACTGCTATTGCTGTTGTGATCTCTGAGCAGGGTGGTTTAACTGCTTTTGTTTTGATACTAACTGAAAGCAATTAACTGCTATTCTGAGAAAATTATTAATTTTTTCTCTTCTGCTGCTGTTCTTGTTTGCTTGCACTTCACTCTTTCATTGAAGCAGGAGATCCTTTATTACTTTTTGGTGAAAAACTTGGGTTTCTATACTTCTATTTCAAGGTCTCTTTGAAAGCAGAATGATAGTGTTTTGCACATCTGTTGTCGTTCCGTTGGCATATATGTAATACACTTTCCAGTCTTTGGCCAATGAATGCATTAGTACAATAAATCCTGAGGCATGAAGTGCAATTCTAAATTTTTTGTCATATGTTTTATAAGTCTGAGTCACTTTTTCACTTTTTCTCAATGTATTTGCAAAATTAATGAACAGCTTCTCAGTTCTGATCTGAACCTTAAAAAGCCCTTTTCTTAATGTTTTTCTCTGCCTGAGAGAGACCTTTTAAGTTTTGCTTTAATTCTGGATTCCTTAAACTTCCCTTAACAGGCATGGGATCTCCTTACCCAAAAATACCTAGTGGAAATAAATAAATAAATAAATATAATTTTCATCTTAAATAAGAATGAATACATGCCTCTGTAAACATTTCTTTCAGGTCTTTTTCTCTGTATTGATTGGAGCTTTCAGTATTGGACAGACTGCTCCAAGCATAGAGGCATTTGCAAGTGCAAGAGGAGCTGCCTATGCCATCTTTAATATAATAGACAATGTGAGTATCATTGCCCTCACTATCATTTCAAAACTTCTTTTGAAGGTAAGACAGTCTTCTTTTTAAAGACAGGAACTAAATTCACACAGAAGCTTAATGGAAAAAAATTATAAGTATTCTTGCATGAGCATATCATCAAAGTAGCAGCGAGGGAGCAAAACATTGTGCAATTTAGATTTTCAGAAATCTCGCCTAAATTACTTAAAAAACATGTTAACATTTCTGCAGAATAATGGTGCACTTGAGGACTTCTTTATGAAAAAAAAAAATTTGTGGGTTTTTTTTGTATTTTATTTTGCACAGGAGCCTCAAATTGACAGTTATTCAGAGACAGGTTACAAACCAGACCACATAAAAGGGAACTTGGAATTAAAAAATGTTTACTTCAATTATCCATCAAGACCAGATGTTGAGGTACTGTAATTGAAACTTTATATATATATTACAGTTGAACATATGGATAATGTGTTGGGAAAAAAATCATTAAAAAGTCACATAAATTAATTTTTGTTGAAAATCTAATAAGTTCAGAATGATTCTCTAATGTATATAAAACTACCTCGTCATCACAGTGATTTTAGTTAATTTTTTTCCACCTTAGATAAATATGTTAAATTTCCTGAATAATTTTTTTGCCTGGTGCCCTAGTTAGTGTGGCTATGTAAAAAACTCTAAATATATATTTCTATCAGAATAAATTTACAATCCCAACTCAAGTGTTTGTGTATAGTAATGATAATGAGCTAGTAAGTTTTAAAATAATTGCAATGCAGCTCTATTATGACTGTGTCTGAACCAGGAAAAAAAGAAAGCAGCTCCAGCAAGGACTTGCTGTTTATGGAATAGAGATCAGAATCTGTATTTGTCTAGACAGAGAATAAGTTTCCTTTTAAAAGCATTGTCATATATTCAGAATCTTAATGCAGTGATGATAGACAACATATGAATGATTCCTGAAAAGATTTACATGGAGTGTCTTTGCATTATGTAACTGTTCCCTTCCTTACCTTGAAGGAAATCACTGACCTTGATAAGTGATAGGCAGAAAGGAAGTACACTCAGCTTTTAACCATGACTTTTACGTAGCTTCCCTGTAGTCAGCATGATGAATTAAAGAAAAAGGTGAGGTAATATAATACAGAAATTTTGCATTGTATTTTTTCTGTATTATATTTTAGTTATGAATAGTGTATTATTATTATTTTGTCATATGAACTATCACTGACCTTGATAAAGTCACTTTTGATAGGCAGAAAGGAAATACACTCAGCTTTTAACCATGACTTTTACGTAGCTTCCCTGTAGTCAGCATGATGAATTAAAGAAAAAGGTGAGGTAATATAATACAGAAATTTTGCATTGTATTGTTTCTGTATTATATTTTAGTTATGAATAACTAAATGAATATGAATAGTGTATTATTATTATTTTGTCATATGAACTGGTTCATGAGACAGGTAATTGAGAAATTAATTGTATAATACATTGATACTGAGTCAATTGTGATGTAAATTATAAGGAAAATTAAGCTGAAGTAATCAGTAATACAAAATTTAAATCCACATGTTTATAAATGTTTTTTACCAAATTCTGCTAGAAATATAAAGGTTATTGCATTCTAGTCTTTCAAATTTACCTTGACATTTGTAAATACTGCTATGTTTTTGACCAACCTTATTATATGGACAGATACTGAAGGGCTTGAATCTCAAGATTAATTCTGGCCAGACAGTGGCCCTGGTTGGTGGCAGTGGCTGTGGGAAAAGCACAACAGTTCAGCTCATCCAGAGATTTTATGATCCCAAGGAAGGCACGGTAAGACACCTCAAGTGAATGACTGCTCTGCATGTCACACGTGCTGAAAGCCTAGTTCCAGCCCGACTGCTCTTGTCAATTTTCCAGTGACATGGTGAAGTCTCCCCTAAAATGGCACATGCTGGCATGGAGAGAGAGGTTCTTTGATCAAAACAAGCAGTAAACAGTTTTTGTCTGCTCTCTTTTGTTTAGGTTACCATTGATGGGCAGGATATTAAGACCTTAAACGTACGGTATCTGCGCGAGGTTATTGGTGTGGTGAATCAGGAGCCCGTGCTCTTTGCCACTACTATTGCAGAAAACATTCGTTATGGCCGTGAGGATGTCACCATGGAGGAGATTGAAAAAGCCACCAAGGAGGCAAATGCTTATGACTTCATCATGAAGCTACCCAATGTAAGCAGATCAGGCGTCCTGCTGCAATAATTTCTTCTAAACCTTCTTGTGCCAAACAGTTCCTCAGAAGGAATGCTTGTTAAGACAGGAAGCTATCTCTGGACCTGTGAATATGCAGATCTTCCTCATAACTTTTGAGATGAATGTTGATTTTATATCTTCAGGCAATGATTTGGCTGTCATTTGAAGAACCACTAGAATTCCAAGAACACAGATGATTAATCAGGTTTATCTAAGTAGGTGTTCATTCCTGTAGAGAAAGGAGAAGGCGTTACCGGCATCTCTGGCATTACTGACATCTTTAGAGGAAGGATTGTGCCACTGAGTGTTTTCAATACATGTGTTTGTCTTGTAGAAGTTTGAAACTGTGGTTGGAGAAAGAGGGGCACAGCTCAGTGGAGGCCAGAAGCAAAGAATAGCAATTGCCAGAGCTTTGGTTCGCAATCCTAAAATTCTTCTGCTTGATGAGGCAACATCAGCTTTGGATACTGAGAGTGAATCAGTTGTGCAAGCAGCACTGGACAAGGTCAGTAGTGTTTTAAAATGAAGCATTTAAGTAGGAGCCTAATATTTACTTCTTTCCTGGACTTTTGTTGAAAATAGAGACACATAAAAACACAAAATGTAAACTTGAATCTGGCAAATATTCTTTGTACAGAGAATTTTTGAGTTCCTGCAGGTATCACAGAGAGAAATCTTATTTCAAATTAGAAGATGGAATTATATTTTCTGCATTATTAAGCTTAAATCAACATTTTCTTGGTGTAAATACCATCCTCATCCATTATCTGTCATACTGCTGTTCATATTGTTGTCAGTCACCTGTCCTTGCTGAGCCTCATGAGGTTCTCCTGGGCCTGCTCCTCAGGCCTGTCAGAGATCTCCTGAATGCCACCCCTTCGCTCAGGTGAATAAACTGCCCTGCTCAGCCCGATGTGACCCCTGAACTTGCTGAGTGTGCACTCAGTCCCTTCTACCAGTATCAGTGATGAAGATACTGAATAGTATGGGTCCCAGTATGGACCTCTTGAGGGACATTACTGAAGATGAACTCCAGCCAGTTTCCAACAGAATTCCACTGCTTGGGATCATTACATTCATTATTTAAACTAAAATTTGCTTGATCACTTTAAAAGAGCCTCATAATTAAAATGACAAGCTGTGATGTTTGGAACATTAAATGTATTATGCTTATAAATACCCAAAGAGAGGTACTTACTTGAAATACAATTCATATGAACTTGTAGAGAAATTTATTTTTATTGTAGTCACTTGAGATAGCAATGACTTAGAGCTTAAAACACTGATATCTTTAAAAGTGTAAAATATTTTCTAATGTTTCTAAGTATAAATTCTCCATGGGTTTTAAGGTTTAAGTGGGCAACTATGAACCTAAATATAAAAAAATATAGCATTAAAAAAAATGTATGGCTTGTAGCATTCTAAAATTTTAGATATTGAGATTTTTATTTAGATATTTTTGATCAAATTTGATGTATTTATGTGCCACAATGAAAGATGATCTTTAATACTAAATTTCAATCTTTAAATTATATTCCTGTTTTAAGGAACTCATTGAAATATGTTTTAAATTTTTTTTTAAGTTATATTTTTCTGTGAACCATTTTAATGTTTCTTTTAGGTCCTATTCAACTCTGCTATGAAGATGAACAGTTTTTGCATTTACTTATACATACTCACACTAAATATTGCTGTTTCCAGGCAAGGGAAGGACGCACCACGGTTGTGGTAGCTCATCGACTGTCAACAGTCCGAAATGCAGATGTGATTGCTGTGTTTGAAGGTGGAGTTATCACAGAGATAGGGAATCATGCTGAATTGCTTGAGAGAAAGGGAATCTACTACAAACTTGTTAACATGCAGGTACTTCTGTCTCTAGCTGTTGCCTCATTTCCTTTTTTTCCCCACACCCATTTTGCAGAAGTATGAGAAATTCTGCAGCATATTTTGATAACAGCGAAAGACTCATGTACTTTGAAAGGAGAGTAATAATTTGAGAGGGACCACTAGTTTGGCTACAAGACCTGTTTAAACCCAGGACAGTACATTTTTAATCCTCTAGGTATTTAAACTTCAAAGATGATTTTATGTTTTCCTTTTATGCAGTTAGTGTAGAGCAGATAACTACCGTCATTTGGTATTCCATTGCTTGTTCTTAGTCTGATAAAAGGTAAACTACAGTAGCTGACTCTGGAGGAATACAGCATGCATATTTTAAGCTGTTTAGTTATAATCCTTCATACTGAATTCCTTTCTAAAGAAAAAAAAAGGGTTGGAATAGAAGAAAAAGAAAATTAATTCAGCTATGCCAAGAGCAAAAATGTGTTCTTAACTTATACAGATAGAAAAAAAGAGATTGAAAATTATAATAAATTTCTGAAATGTGTTAGTTATTAAATGAAGACCAAGATACTTTGATACTTACATCCCAATGTCCCATGTGAACATTTATAGCAGATTTTCATTGTAGCCTTTGTTTTACTTCATAACCTCTATGTCCATTAAAGAAACTGACACTATCTCAGTATGTCACACTGAAGAGGTTAACCAGAGCAATTAAAATATTTCTTCATAGGAGAATGCATTTGGTTACCTTAGATTCAAAGTAATTTTGTATCCAAGCAAATGCAAATATGGGGAAAATGAGGAAATATAAAATAAAAAGAAAATTTAAAAAACAATAAAAAAGGAAAATAAAAAATTGAAAGCTAGTAAAAAGAGATATTTTTGTTAGCAATTCAAAAAGCAGTAAGAAATAAAAAAATCTGGAAAAACAAAACACAAGTTGAAGGCAACTTTGAATACAGCTGCTATCAAATACCTCAGGGTGGGTAGACATTTATTTATTCTCTCAAAGAGACTTGCAAAAGTATCACCAAGGATAAGGCTCCTTTCCAGGCTACTCTAATTTTTCCGTCAAAATCTTTTTGACTTGTTTCCTCCTGAACTTCCTTATTCCATTTAAAGCCAGGAACTGTTCAGTGTGTTTTCCAGTAAAGGCAGTAATGTTTTATCACTTCATAAATAAACTGTACATCCCCCAAGAACTCATTCTAAAAGATCCCAAGAGGTGTGCAAATGGTTTACTCTCAATTTAAAACTTTTGGTTTAATTTATTAAAAAATAGAGCAGCTACTCTCAGTCCTCATCTTCCACTTACTATAAGAATTTTCATGAGAGATGCAAAACTCATATATGACTAAAGCTCTGGAGATAGAGCTCTAATAAATATTATACAGATTTTTATACCTCCTTAATGCATTATGTGTTATTCCTCAATATCTCTTTTAACTGAAACAAAGTTACTTTTACTTTGATTACCTCATAATTTTGGAAGTTTGAAGTAACATGCGCATGTTTAATCTTAGCTAAATGTTCTTCCCACTTTTAGGCAATAGAAGCAGAAGTTCCATCATCAGAAAATTATGAGAATGTACTTCCATCATCAGAAAATTATGAGAGTGTACTTCCATTATCAGAAAATTATGAGAATGTATGTAGTGTCAAAAACAGGGAATCTGAACCAGACTCTGAAGAATCCTTAACTAGAGGATTGAGAAGACGATCAACTCGGAGAAGCATGAAAAAGCCAGGAGAGCAAAATGATAGTCCTGATGAGGAAAAAACTTCACCTGTAAGTATCTTTGCAGAGCTGTTAGTGAACTTAATTCCTTTAAACAAAGTTAAATTCATTCTCCTGCTGAAAAAAAGTACAAGACATGAGAATTTTTAAATACTTAAGTAGCCTTTGACTGATAATATTAACTTTTTTTTTAGTTTCAACATAAATTATAATACAAATAAAATAGTAATATAACAAAGATGATTAATTTGTTATTGAAAGTAAATTTCCTTTAAATGAAACATACTTCATACATGGTGCATATACTTACGTACCATACCAACATAACCTGTACAGGTTAAACGTTCATTTTTGGATAAGAAACAAAATATTTAGCCCAACATAACAACTTACAACAAAAATTGCAAACCCACCCCCCATATATGATTACATTCATATTTACAGCAATTATTTTACTGTTATAAATTGCTTCATGAACAATTACTTGAATTAATCCAGGCATGGATTACTCACAGTAATATGCCCAGAATGAGTAGTTCAGTCATCACTGACCTATACCAAAGTATTCACCAACAAAAATTTCATGGATAAACTAATATAAAAAGAAAAGTGCTGTAGATATAGTGTACAGATCTCCCTTGTGTTAGAACAACAAAAAAAATGCACAATCATTTATTCATGTTATTAAAAACTATACAGTTTTTGCTTCCCCTGAATAGATTCTGGGAATAAGAAATTGATTATTAATCTCTCCTTTTCTCTGTATTTCTCCAAATACATTCATGTTTGTGCTAATGCAATTCACATTTTTTTAGGCTGAAGAAATACCTCCAGCTTCATTTCTGAAAATTATGAAGTTAAACAAAACTGAATGGCCATACTTTGTAGCTGGAACCTTGTGTGCAATTATCAATGGAGCTTTACAACCTGCATTTGCAGTCATATTTTCTGAAATTATTGGGGTAAGTTGGAATAAAATAAGCAAAAAACTATAAGCCCACAATATTCATGTCTCATAAAATTAGGTTAAAAACAATCACTAAAAACAATCACTGAGGCTGAAGAGTGGATAAAGCATTCTTACAGAAATCTGAAAAATTGTATGACACAAAATGCTAAAAATCTTGCTACAACCTGAAATACACTTGTTATACATTAAATATTATGTAATATATTATCAAATTTCATATTAATGCAATTGACTACCAAAAAATTTACTGAGAAAGATGAGAGTATTTTACATTGGTAGTTAATTTTATAAAAACTTTGTTTCAAATTTTATGTTATAGATTTTTTCAGAGACTGACAAGGACATCTTAAGAAAACAGAGCAACTTATATTCACTGCTGTTTTTAGTACTTGGGATCATTTCCTTTTTTACTTTCTTTTTTCAGGTATGTTTTAATATTTTAACCTTATTTTAATTGTTCATCATGTTTTAGAAACCTGAAATATTCTAAAAATTTGCATCTTCATAAAATGTCTCCAACTCAAACCAGAACCTGTATTTATGGTTCTAGATACGTCTTGTGCTGAAACTTTTTTGACATAGAGCTGCTTGTGTTTAAGAGTGTTTTGAATCTATTCAGACCTCTTAACTTTAGAAATTCCCATCTTGTTCATCAGTCAGACACTTCCCAGCACAAAACTCTGGATTTTTTCGCTCATATTCCACTGCCAGCTAGCAGGCAACCTCTCCAGTCCTCACATTCTACCACCCCCCTCTCACCTCAAGCCTTCCTATTTGAATCTGTTAGTAACTGAAAATCTATCAATCTCATGCCTTTGTTCTCCAATTTGTTACTTCCCTAACCCTTTCCTTGTCCAAGAGAATGTCCCATATTTCTCCTGTGGGAGACTCCCAGGCCCAGTTTGTCAGGTAACATTCACCACACTGATATTTACTTCCTCCTGCTGAAATACTAAGGGTTGTACCTCCTACAACAGCGCCACTTAAAAAGAAAAAAAGGTAGTAATCATATTAAATATTTTCATATATAGTCCATTTTATAATGTAGGAACATATTGGTATAATTTTATCTGTTAAGTAAGCCCATGGAGTGAAATAATAACATGCTTGGGACAGCAGCATAAACAGCCTCTTGCAGAAACCTGGTTTGTTTGTGGAATTGTCTCGTTGCACAAGCGAAAAATGGTCTTGAGTATGGAAGGCTGAGTAGTGCAGGGCTGTGATAGGTTTGCTCAGTTCAGAAATGTTCAGGTAATGTTTTTAAATTTGACTGATGCATTTGACTGAACCCAGGTTGCCTTGAAAAGCCTTTAATCTAAAATGAATGACCTAAATGTTACTTATTTAAATCTGACTTACATTGACTCAGACAAATGAAGTCAAAGGGTTGATTAGTAACCTTCTCCTTAAAGCATGCTGGTGAAGCAGTGCTAGGAAATATTGCTATGCTCCCTATATTTTTTTCATTAACAGTATTTGAATGTCAGTACTGTGAACCTAATGGAATTTATGTATATTAAACCTGGTTTTACTTTCTGCAAACAGGACTGCAATATTTTTTACTTTGACGTTGTACAGGCAATTTATCTAAAATATTTATTGAATAAACACAAACAGTGTATTACTATACCAAGCATTGTACTTTTTCTCAAACAGGGTTTCACATTTGGCAAAGCTGGAGAAATTCTGACAATGAGGCTTCGATTCATGGCGTTTAAAGCAATGCTTAGACAGGTAAAGATAATAAATATTTTGATTTCCAAGGTTCTCAAAATAATTGATGGTATTGATATAAAATAATTGTATTTTACATCACTCTATCATACAGAGAAGATTTTTAAAATTTGACTAGAAACCAATTTGATTAATTACATGTGGTTATGCAAAGTGTCCTTAGGGAGAGTCTTAAATCAATACAAGAGTTTTTTTATGTACTCCTTGCAAAGACTCAGTTTTACAGCCAAGTTACAAGGGCATGACAAGTGGATACGCACCAGCAGTATCCCATTATCTGTTCATTTACCTGCTTTGCTTTCTTTGGGCTCTATCTCCCCTAAAGAAATGCCACACATCTTACACTGTAACTCTTACTTCAAATGTCTGATTTGAATTGTGATATGTACAGATATGTGGTTTTTTAAATTTATTTGTACAAGCCTCTAAATCTCTAATTGTTGTTTATTAATGCAACAACAAGATTGTGTATTGAAAAGTAAAACCACTTTCATAGAGTTAAAATATAAATAGAATGTAATGTTGTTAAGTAATTCTAAATTGGCCTTAGTTTTGCATCATTTCAGGATCAGTATTTTTGATTTTGAAATACAAAATATGATAGTTATGAGGTTTTAAGTCTTGCACATAAAGCTACATGTAGACACAGAATTTGATTCATGTGAACATGACTATTTTCAATGTGACAGAAAACAACTATAGTCTGAAAAATCATGATTTATAGATCAGCCATACTAAAAATCTAATGAAAAGGCAATCTGACAATTGAGTCTTGAGGTCACAAATGCCTGTAATACCTTACCAGGACCTCATTCAATGCATACTACATGTGACAGTTTAAATCAGATACTTAGTCACATGGTTAATAAATCATAAACTGTGTACCTTACCCCAGCAATTAGCTTTCATCAGGTAGCATAGTTTGATTTTTTGATTGGGGTTTTTTGTTGTTGTTGTTGGTTTGTTGGTGCCTCATAGCTTCCAAATAAGCCTCTTCAACATGGGAAGAAACAAAGCAAGAAATATTTTGTTTTTAACCTGAAAATGCTTTACATTTAACCCCTCCCCAACAAGCTTTGCAACCACAAGGGAGTGTGACCAAAGAGTCCTCTCCTCCAAGCAGATTCAGTGAAGGAGCAGCAGTGAGGGAGGGTAAATGTTGCTTTTGGGAATCTCTCAGCTGCTCCCCTTCCTTCTCAGCAGTGACAATGAATACATCAATGATTCACAAGATTACACTTCTTTCTAAATATATTCAATGTGCAATGATGGAATTAAACTTATTTAAATATGTAGAACTGAGGCAGATTTACTTAGATTCACATACCAGATTTACTTAGCAGTTTATTTGAAATGTCCAAAATCTGGTCTTAAAAATAATTTTTCTTACTGTAGGATATGGCCTGGTTTGATAATCCTAAAAATAGCACTGGAGCATTAACTACAAGACTTGCTAATGACGCCTCTCAAGTGAAAGGAGTAAGTAAAATTTTGGGTTGGAAGTTTTCCTATTTGGTTTAGCATGTAATGAAGTTGCAGCTTGGGTTTGACTAGCTGGATAACAGTCTTGATTTTGACAACTAAAATATAATATAAAATAGTATATTCTATATATAAATTATTATAACAGCTACTGATATGTATATAATAATTATATATATACACCAATAGCTGGTAGAGCATGCACTGATACACTTTATGAAAATTATGATAATATGTACTTACAGACTAATTTCCAAATAAATTTTTCTAAAAAAACCTATTGTGCTGTGTTGTCATCTTTATTATTAAACAAATTTATTGGGAATCTCTTACCTAAGTAGTCTTTTTAAAGAGATCTTATTCACCTAAAGACATCCAACTAAATGTATACAGTTTACGATCTTCTGCTATTTTTTTGGTAGGGCCAATTTCTTATTAAAAAAAATGAACTTTCAGCAATTGACTTCCTTTTTTCTGTTACCTTATGGAGATTCTTTATAAGTAAATTCTGTGCTTTCAGGTGTCTGTACTAGCAAGCTAAAGTACACTGAATGTAATCATTTGGGTATGCCTAGGTAAATTTTTACTGCTACATGAAGTTATGTGCTTGGGTTTTTTGTAAACCGAAGGATACTGAAGTATCTTTGGCTTTATTTCCATAGGAAAAGTTAAATATTTAATTTTCTTCCTCATTGGATTCTGTGTGATGACTTGTAAAGGTAGCTCTGTGATGTAGAAAATATGACAGATTTTAATGTTTAGATGTAAATGTGGGTATGTGATGAGGGTAAAGCTTGTTCTGTTTCAAGAGCAGAATTTAGAAATTGCAGAGTAAATTGAAGTAATCAGAATATAGGGAAAGAAGAAATAAATATGATCTAGATAATTTTTTACAAAAGCATCTAAGAAACTACCATTTTGAAAATTAGCAAAACTGAGTTAAGCCTTTCTAAGCAGTGCTTTGAGAATCAGGAATTTTGTGCATGAAAATGCTTTCCTTATTTAAAATGCAGTTATGTTGGTAAGAAATGCCTTTTTTCTTTGTCCAGGCAACTGGTGCCAGACTAGCATTAATTGCCCAAAACGTAGCCAACCTGGGGACTGGAATTCTTATATCATTAATTTATGGCTGGCAGCTGACCCTGCTGCTTTTAGCTGTTGTGCCCATCATTGCGGTGGCAGGAATGATTGAAATGAAGATGTTGGCTGGGCACGCTAAGAAAGATAAACGAGAGCTGGAAGCCGCAGGAAAGGTGGGTCTAGAGAAATTAATCTGTTTCTGTATAATGTATACAGTCATGTTTACCAAAGCATTGTTAATGGATGTATGACTTCTGAGTCCAGAGCATTTCACAATATGGGAGTTCCAAAGACAGCCAGGCACACTAGAAGACCTGCAGAGCATCACACCTCTTCAATACAAATTGAAGACTTATGGTATTAACCAATGAATATTTTTGTAGTTAAATGTTGAAATGTGCTAAGGACAATTCAGGCATGTTCTTTTCTCATTCATTTTCTAGACATCTTTCTTTTCCTTATTTTGCAACTGCCTTCATTTTGACATTCTTTTTTTTTTTTTTTCCTGTCATCCCTTTTTGGCATGCCATCTGTCTTACATTTATTACACTGCTCTTTTTTTTCTCTCCCCTTCTTCATCTTATTAATGTTTGCAGTGATAATATGTATATATCCACTGGTTTCTGTTTGCCATTCCTTTGTTTCTTGAGTGGAAGAGAAAGATGAGAACTGAGAAGCGAGAAGGCTAGACTCTTGTTTAACAAATTAAATGATGGTATTTAATGTCACTTCATTCCAAAAATCCTTTTGGGACAGAGCAACAATTTCATCACTTCCCAGATATTGCTTTCTTCAAGGTAAAACTTTTCTAAGATCTCTTCCTGTGTCCTTTTTAAAAGTTGCTGAAAAGAAAATAATTATCTAAGGTCATGGAATTCCATTCCTTTCCTTTCAACTCCATACATTTCTTCTGCTTCTCTCTGAGGGATGAGCATTTATTTTGTTTTGTTGTAAGATGTGATAGAAAATAGTTGATAATTCTTGGAATAAACACTAAAGACTTTCCTAATGGAGCATATTGTGAAGAATTAGCACAGGTGTTTCAAATATTTATGGTTTGGGTTTTTTTTTTGAAACTTAAAAAAAATATTTTCTTTTCATAGTAATTTGAGTTTCCCTTCTCAAGGCCACCTAAGCAAGCACTGGACTATAGGCATTTTATTCAATTCAATTCACATTTTTTAAAAAAATGGGAGATTTTTTTCAGTAAAAATAATGTTCCACCTGGAAAATTCATTTTCTCTAAAGAATTGCTGCATTTGGGTTACTAAAAAACCTTACTTTATGGTCTTAATTAAACTAAAATTACATGAAATGTATATGATAGCAAAATGCATTGAAGCCTTGGGAGTCTTTTGAGAGAATCACCAAGATTGGAAGAGACCTTCAAGGTCATCAAGTCCAACCATCAAGGCAACACCACCATAATGACCCCTAAAACATACCCCAGGTGCCACATCTATCTCTTGAGCTCTTGCAGAGACAGGGACTCTACCACCTACCTGGGCAATCTATTTGAATCTATTCTAATCTGAATCTCCCCTGGAACATTTATGCATACAAGTGATTCAAGTCTAAAGAATCTGCAAGCTAAAAGAAGGTGTTAGAGCAAATATTTACTGCTGAGATCTCAGTTAGGCTCTAAGGCACCCAAATAACCTGGACATTTTGAGTATAGCCCAAACTCTGTGGACTCAAAGTTGAATGCTAATGTGCCATTTTTCATGTTGAGTATCTCCTCTATATTTGTTATTGCTGTCTAATGGTTTTTCACCATTTATTTGTAGAACATTATAGAATTCTTATTAGAAAATTCTGAGAATTTTAAGAAAATCTCATTGTCCTAAAAAGAAAAATATAAAATGCTTATTTTTATATCAGCAGTCGATGATTTTAATAACCAGTATAAAATATAAACTTGTATTCTAACAGAATCCTCTACTAATTTAAAATAAGGAATTACAGCATACTTAACTTTGATCAAAGCATTTGTTTTTCTATTGCAGATTGCCACAGAAGCAATAGAAAATATTAGAACTGTTGTTAGCTTGACCCGAGAAAGAAAATTTGAGTCAATGTATGGAGAACATCTGATTGTACCATACAGGTATAATAAAAATATCTAAGCTAAAAAATGTCTGTAATAAATTGCGAACATTTACTTTGACAATAATAGGTTTTTTAATAGTGTGTATGATTTAATATATAATTTAATTATCTCAGAATTAATGTCAATGTTTTGTATATTTGTATTGACAAATGCAACCACCACCACTCAACATTTTTTAAAATTTGATTTAATTAATTTTCTATTATAATATTGGTATCTCCTATTACAATGTTACTTAGTTTGGAAAAAATGCTGGTTTTAAGTGAGCTTTCAAAGTGGTCTACCACTGATTTGTTGGATATTTAATTAAAACTATTTTAATGTAAATTGAATATTACATTTTTTAAAGTGTTAATAAGATTTAAAACATTTGAATAAATACTTACTGGTTTGGGGCTCAAAATAAAGTAATATAAGTCTGTCTAGATTAAATCAAAATTAAAAAATTTAAAAGCCTTAAACAACTAAATAGATTCTACCAATTAAAGTTTTATTTGTTCCAGACTGGACTGTTTCATTTTCAGACATCTATGAGAAATGTAAAGAAAATGAAAGTATATGTACACAGATATAATGGGAAAGAAGCAGGGGTGCCACTAACACATCCACCATAATATATGAGTGGTTAGAGCACAGTGCAGGACATAAAAGGCATTACTTAGCTTTTTTCCCAGACTGCTGGGTTTTGAGTTAATATCTCATGATTTTCAGAACAATTCCTAACCATTCTCTGGGTTGACATTGATGGGCTAGCTCCAAGACTTTCACCTTGCTGTTGTTCTAGCATAAATAAGAACTTACTGTCCTACGAGAGAGAAGATGTGCTTTAGTTAATGTTTCGGTGCATGTAAACTTTCCATTCCGAACAGTATCAATTGAAGTCAATTGTTTTTTGGGATTTCAGTATGACTGCACACTTTGATGAAAATATGCATTCTTTCTGTACAGAAATTCTGTGAAGAAGGCACATATATTTGGCTTTTGTTTTGCCCTTTCACAAGCAATGATGTTCTTTACCTACGCCGGCTGTTTCCGCTTTGGTGCCTATCTAGTGGTAAATGGACACATGGAGTATAAAAGTGTATTTTTGTAAGTATCTCTTTTACAATCCCTTTTCTGTCTGTTCAGAAAAAATATTTATAATTTAAGAGCACCAATTCAATACAGGGCTATGAAAACAAGTATGATAGACTGAGATCCTACCAGTGTGGTTATCAGTGACCTGAATACCCAAGAAGGTCAACCATACTGATTTTTTGTTGCTAACATAATTAAAGACAGTAAACTCAGCTTATCATGTTAGAAAGTGTCTGCATTCCATCTGCTAGCTGAACATGTCTAGCCAGGGAGTGAATTTTTGGTTAGATTTGAAAGGCAGGGTTTGAGCAAAAACTGTGTGAGGCCTTCTCTGCTGTTCAAAGACAGAATAAAACATAAAAAACATAAAATTCTATAAAATGACATAAAAGTCATCAAAAACCAACAAAAGCATAGTTTTTAACCTTTATTGTCATTGTAAATCCTGCAATTTTTTCCGCAGAGATGTGGTAGAAAATTAAATCTTTATTGTCACCTTGTTACAGGCTTGATTTCTTATTTTCATTGATGCCTTAAAAAGTGATCACTAATTCCCAAAGGCCATTGAAACCTAGAGAGGAAACCACAGTGAGGATGGAACAGCATTACAGTAACAGTGATGCCATCCCTTGATCTCTTTCCTCATAGCCCCAGCTGAGACTTAACCATACCAACCAGAATAAAAGAAACTAAAGAAATTACTGCTAATAAGTAATGATAACACTGAATTTGGAATGCAGGCCTGTTTATCTCATTTCATTAAAAGAAGGTAAAAAGAAATTTCTGGAACTAAATTAATAATTAAAGAAACAATAGTTGATTACTACTTTATTCTTTGTAAATTGAGCTCTCTGAGCAAAAGTTGACTGCAGCCAGATTTTCACTGTTCTTTTCTTCATGATATTTTTCTTCTTGATTTGTTTATAGGGTGTTTTCAGCTGTTGTATTTGGTGCAATGGCACTAGGACAAACCAGTTCTTTTGCCCCAGACTATGCCAAAGCCAAGATATCAGCAGCCCACTTGTTTCTGCTGTTTGAAAGAGTGCCCTCAATAGACAGCTACAGTGAGGAAGGAGACAAGCCTGTGAGTAAGCCACGAGTGCTGGGTGACACTATTTACTGGTGATATGGACAGTACTCTCCTCACTCTCTTCAAACTGATTCTTCCTCTCCTTCTGATTACATCCTTAGCACAATGCATCTTTGACACTATCTAAACACAACATGGACCAAGTTCTCTATTGTGAGTTCAGCTTTTGCACATAGAGTCAAAAGGGTATTTGTTTTGAAAATCTCTATTGATTTCTGGGGGGTGGGGATACTTCGGCAATTCTATCATAATAATCTGTGAAATTGTCTTAAAGATGTAACAGTGATAATATTTTCATTATAGGAAACATTTGAGGGAAACATAACAATCAAAGATGTGGCATTTAACTACCCAAACCGTCCAGAGGTCAAAATCCTCCAAGGGTTGAATCTAAAAGTAGAAAAGGGACAAACTTTGGCTCTTGTTGGCAGCAGTGGCTGTGGAAAGAGCACAGTTGTTCAGCTGCTGGAGAGATTTTATGATCCACTCGATGGAGAAATGGTAAGTATTTTTGCAAGAGCATGTCAATGGGTTAAGTGAAGGTGTTCTATATTAGTTTTCTGTGATGTTTTAAGTACAACAGGTATTTCTAGTTTTATATTTTAAGTATTTTTAATGTAAAAATCAGCAGTGGGATGTCCTTAATTAAACTAGATGCATGTAAGTCCCAGTTTCCCACATTACAATTACTGATCCACAGTCTCATGATGGCTTTAAATTCAGGACAAATTTCCTGAGGATTTTATAACAAGAACAGTTTAAATACTATAAATATATGTATCTACTTTTGTATGATCTAGTAATAGAATTTTCCATCTTCAATGATCTTTCAAAAAAAAAGGTGAATATTGACAAAAGTAATTATTTTCATAATTTTTACTTGTCAGAAATATCTTTAAGAGTATGACTGCTTATTAAGTGATAGATTGTAAATACTTTCAGTAATTTCAGTTTAAAATGTAGGGTTTCCTATACTACTCATTCAACAACTTTATAATTTTTTTCACATAGTGGTGCTATTAATTGCTGTTGATCTTTGGTGTAAATATGCTCAGAGGTTTTGTCTGAAACAGAGCACACATTTTGGCCTTTATGAGGTGAGAATAAGAAGGATTTTAGAACTTGTCTCTGCAGAGATACTCACAAAACATAAAACTGTAATTAAATAAAGACTAGATACAATGGAAAAGATTTTTTGAGGTTAAAAGTGCCAAAAAGGTTCAGTGTAGCAAAGTGATCTGTAGAAAGAGGCAGCATAGGTGCCCCAAAAGTGAGTTTAACAAAATGCAACTTCCTTCCCAGTGTTTCTGGCCTTGTGTCCATAAATAACCAACAACAGTTTACTGAAGGGTGAAGCACACACCTGTGCCATAGAAACCACAAAAGTGTTGGACTAATTCTCAATCTGAGTTGCACTGTGAACTGAGTGAAAGGGGTTTTAGCTTAAAGCAGAAACTGTCAGAGCAGCTGTTCACAAAAGTTCCCTCACTTCACTGGATTTTGAATCAGGTTCATTATGAAACCTTTTCCATTGAAGAAAAAGTTATCTTGGCTGAAAGTTGACTGTTCTAGCACCAGCTGTGGAGTTGGTGGAATAATCTCCTCCAACAGCCATGCTATAAAGGGGGCAATTCTTCAACTATCCAGCTGATCATGTCACCCAACACAGAGCCTAAGTGCTGCACTGGGATACTCTAGTGGAGATTCAACAGCCCTTTTAATGTCCTGGTATATTTGTGTCCAAATTAAGGTGACTGGTGTAATTATGATACATTAAAAATAAATTGAAATTCTGTTTTTATTTATCTAATATAAAATGATAGCTATTCAGCAGGCATATTTAACAGAAGTATGAGAGTTGCCAATAAAGAAAACTGGCTGCAAATGGCATCTTAAGGAAGGAAATTTCTTCTTTATAGATGCAAAATAGAGGAAAATTTTCCTGCTGAAGAAACAATTGAAAGAACTTTACCCAAAGTTCTTTGAAGTTGCTTCAGCATATTCTATCTTCCACTGTCTTCAAAATCCTAATTAAATATTGAAGTAAAGAAAAGGACCGAGGCAGCATTCACTTATATGAATTAGAAAATTTTGGAACATAGACAAGAAGGAGGGGAAGGGATTATGTGGGTTTGCAATTGGTAAGAAAGAGCTAAGGGAAAGAGCTGCAATTGCACAATTTCTCTGTATGAATTTACAGTAAGTCTCAAATTCATATATACTCATGTGACTAAAATTTTAAATGTTTGCTTTCTCAGCTTTTTGATGGCAAAACTGCAAAGGCACTGAATATCCAGTGGCTGAGAGCTCAGATTGGTATCGTCTCACAAGAACCAATCCTGTTTGACTTCACTATTGCCGAAAACATCGCCTACGGAGATAACAGTCGGCAGGTGTCCCATGAGGAAATTGTTAGTGCAGCAAAACAGGCCAATATTCATTCCTTCATTGACTCACTGCCAGATGTAAGTTATTCCCTTTCTTTCCTTCTCAGAACTGGATGTGAACTTAAGTGGCCGGGAAAAACTGTCTGCTTATAATTACCTGGGGTTCAATAATTCTCTGAGATGAAAATAAATCTGAAACATTTTTTAAAATATTTTCCTTACTTAACTGTGTTTAGAATACTTATTTCCACTCTGGGAGATTCCATTGTCAGGTGGAGAGTGGCACTTTTAAGATCTCAGGGAAGAAGACACACAATTATAACTAACTGAGAGTTGGAGATACTAGGAGGTGGAGTTTTTAAAATTGAACTTTTTTTTTTTACACTTTCTTCCAGTTATACCTAGCTAGAATTTGAATTTCAAGTATTCCTGTGGTCTGAAAATTACTAAGAATTTTTCACCTATATGCATGAGACAAACACATAATAATACAAGACAGAGCATCTTGGGTCAGAGGAAAGGTCTGCCATGCACAAAATCTTGTCCTTATGCAGTGACCAGGAAGATGTAATTACAAGTATTCAGAAAGGCTAAAACTTTAATCACATTTCCCTTAAATACTCATCTCACTTTGAATGATTTTTTTCAGAATTTGAACCCCAGTATTGTCACAGACTTTCACTGACGTTTGGTGTTGTGTCATCTGATTGAGAATAACATTGTCATTTCAACCTTAGAGTGGCTTGTTGCTTAGAATTCATTCAACACTGGACATTATAAAGAAGTCTACTAGTAAGAGATCTATAGATCTATGGCAGATAGAAATTATGGTCAGTTTTCAGCAAGCTGCTGGTGTGGAATATGCAGATTGTGGGAGGCTGGTATCAGAGTTGATATGCTTCAATATACATCCAAACTGATTTTCATTCAAAGCCTGAACTTAACACATTTTTTGCAGAAATACAATACCCGTGTAGGGGACAAGGGAACGCAGCTTTCTGGCGGCCAGAAGCAGCGCATCGCCATTGCCCGAGCTCTCGTACGCAAGCCCCAAATTCTGCTTCTGGATGAAGCTACTTCTGCCTTAGACACAGAAAGCGAAAAGGTAACTTAAGTCTGAGCCAGGAACCTGGAATATAAACTCTTTTTTTGGATTATGACTACTGTTTTTACTCCCACAGCTTAAAGCCAAAAGCTGGAAATATGGTGTCTTATGCAAATTACGTATTTAGGCAAATAATAGGAAAATACAAATGTCTTATCCCTCCTTGGGGGGAAAAATAAGTATTTTTTACATCTGTATGGCAGTAGGTACATTGAAGTTGCAATAAAGAATGCATTTCTTAGCCTAGAAGTCTTCAGGCTTCAGCTGAGAAAGTGATATCAAAATTGAATCAGGACACACAAACTACAGAAACAAAAAAGATTGAGGATACTGCCAGAGAACATTGGGGTTTTTTTTCTTTGAAGCTATGATATGTGGCTTTCTTAAGTTTTCTTCCTTCTCCCATTGCTCTCTGGTCCTTGCTACATGTTCATGGTTGAAACGAAAATTTTAGATAAAAATTGCTAGAACATTTACTTATTTTTTAAGCCCAAAGCTGTAATCTTGATACCACAGAAGTACAATCCAGCTGTAGAAAATTAACAGACAGTCTACAACAATACTTGCTATTAATGAGGCAAATATTATTTCATATATTATAATCTGGAAAGTTAACATTTTCTACTAAGTTTTGATCAATTGTAGGCATGAAAAAATGAGGTTTAAGGGAAAATGCCATTAAATAATCCCATTATCTATTTTTTTCTTGATTATATGCCAGTTAGGTATTTAAATTTAACCTCTTACTTTCTTCTGTGTTAATAAGCATAAGGAATAAATACAAGAAAGCAGAGATTGTTTTTAATGTCTTTCTGCCAGTGATCGCTTTAAAAAAATGTGATTCATGGGAGTCCCTGTGAAATCATGAGAACTAGTATGATAGCAGCTGGCCCAAGAATATTGACTTCCATATATAATTAATCAGACATGAAAGGAAGCTCTGGAGGTCCCCAATTAAACCTCCTCTTCACACAAAGGCCAATACTGAACTCAGATTACTTTATGCTGTGTCTGGTAGGGTACTTGAAAATCTAAAGGAGATTCAGTAGAGGTGTTTTTGTCCCTGTTCCAATGCCTAATTATCCTTGCAGTGAATCCTTTTTATATCCAGTCAGAACATCTCCTACAATTTAAAACCATTTTCTTTTTTTCTCCTGCCGTGCATCTCAGTAATGAGCCTGGTTCCTTCTAATTCTCGTAACTGTCACAGCATCATCCACTCTAACAGTCTGGACTCTGCCAACACAGGCTAATTCTAAATTAAGAAGCTTGAGCAACATATATTCCCTTTCCTTCACTGTCATATTAGAGCTTACAGATGGCAGTTTAGGTATAAGTCACAGCAGCTGCCAGAGTAGCTCACCTTTTGGTCTGCTCCTTGTGCAGATTGTCCAGGAAGCGCTGGATAAGGCTCGAGAAGGTCGAACGTGCATCGTGATAGCTCACCGCCTGTCCACCATCCAAAACGCTGACAAGATCGCCGTGGTCCAGAACGGCAGGGTCATAGAGCAGGGCACCCACCAGCAGCTGCTGGCTGAAAAGGGCGTCTACTATTCCCTGGTCAATGTTCAAAGTGGGTAATGCAATATCTCAGTTCAAGGCAGTATTTATCTCTGAATTGTCACTGTGGCTACTTTTGTCATTGTAATTATTTCAGTATCAACAGTCAGTCTTGATACCTTTGGTTTTCTTCATTCCTTTCATAAGGTATACAAACCCAAGAAATACTAAGTAAATGTGTACCGGTTTCTCACTACTAGTTTTCATTATTCAAACCTCTTTTCTATGTGGCCAAAGCAGATGCCCATGGCACTCATGAAAGTAGAAGCATGCTAAGCCATATGTAATTATTATCAGCTTGCTTTGAACACAAAAATCACACTGATTAGGTGTAAACAACTTGGAAATATTTTCATGCTCATTAAAAACAGTTTTGCTCCTGTCAGAAATAAACCTCAAGCCTTATCATCTCTGTGCCTGTGTAAGACAGTCAGTCCTGGCCTATTAGGCTTGTTACCATATGTTATGAGAACTTGCAGGTCAGCTGAAGCTTGATGCCAAGTGTCTCTTGTTACGATGTGGAGCTTTAGCTTGGGATGTCAGTAAAGGCCTTGAAAATATGGGCACAGGCTGAAAACAAAGGTTCCAGAATTGTAAGTACCTTACTCATGGTTACTTACTGGTCATTGAAGAGCTGCAACCTTAAAAGATGGAAAAGGACTGCTTGAAATGAAACAGAAATTAAACAACAGATAAGGAAAAAACCCAAGACCATAACTGATGAGCAAGACAAGGCATCTGCTGCAGCCTGGGAAAGTACTCTCCGCAAGTCTCTCAAAGTCCTAGGAGTCAGATGTCAAGGACTAAGAGCTCTCTAAAGACTGCAATATTTTATACAAGGTGAAAATCCTGGATTTGCACTTGGAGGAGGAGGAAGGAAGGCATCCTTTTCAGTGTTGACATCCTTGCTTGAAGAGCTCTTGAATCTGAGCACTGCCATGACTGAGACTCTCAAGGACTATAGCCATCGGTGCTAAATTCCTGGCATGGGCTCTGGGATATTGTATATTATTTACAAATATAGGATGGCTGCTAAGGGCTAACTGCTTCGAACTTGCAGTAATATTGACTAATAATTATCAATTACTAAGCAGTAGAAATGTATTTTGTTGGTGAGTATTTATGCAGTAAAGTTTTGTTTTTAAGTTTAAAACTGTCTTGATTAATCAATCGTCCGCGCTTCCGTCATAGCAATTTCTCATTCCCTGAGATTTATACAAATGGTCTGTCATACCTACACCTAGATATTTACTCACACAGAACCAGTCTGTAGGCAGATAGGCAAGTCAGTTAGGTTCAACCATGTACTAATTACACTCTACAGAATGTTGATTGATGCAGTCTCACTGTATTCCTCTTGAATCACTCATCTATTTTATTTTGTTTCTGTCTTAGACGGAAAACCAGTTTGACTGGAAAATTTGCTTGTTTCCTATTTATACATTGCTTGATACAATAAGGTTCTTGTCTGTCCATAAGGATATTACTCTGCATAATAATATAAATAAGTTATACTTTCAACTGTAAGAATGAAATAGGTACTCTTCAAAATTATAGTCTAAAGATTTAAGTAAGAACATACTTAGAGTGATTTTTTAAAATTAAATTCTGGATGTTAGTATTTTGTTTTCAAACTTGTATTTCTAAGTGTTGATGATACATTTTCTAATTATTGGATTAGGAATGACTGAGGTATTTCCCCAACTCATTTCAAAGATTCTTGATTTACCAGAACAATTTAGCTCTTCATGAAAATCAAGATAACACTGTAAATATTTTACCAGAAACATCTGAAAATAATTTTTGTTTTTAAATTTTGGTCATATAGCTTAAAATAGATTTCAGAAATTCACATCAAATGCAGAAACTTTCCAAAACAATCTATTTTCCCCTATTCTTTTTTTCTACATTTTAAAAGAAGTATTTGTTGAGACTTATGCAAAATTTGTATAATAATTCAAAATCCACTATAAGTGCTTGAACAGCTATGCTGCTGCTCACAGTTACATCATTTTCAGAATTTTTGTTTCAGAAGACCATGACAGCCGTATTGCTACAATTGAACTAACATTCAATACCTCATCATATAGTTTATAGGCACAAAGCCAAAAGGACAGACAAAAGCTCCTCAAAAAATATCTTCTTCATCATATTCTAGTCATACGCCTTTAAATTGCAATAATTTAGCCAAAGCAAGGGTTGACTGAACTAGGACAATTCTGCTTCAATTGCAATAATTTAGCACATCTTTCCAGGGAGCTTAAGGGGTCGTACTCTTTAGCTCTGCCTTTTCAGTTAGGCTGTAACCATTTTGGTTCCCCTTGATGTCACAAGACACTTTTCTGAGCTCTAAGTCCCCCTTGTTGGAGCAGTCAGCTCTTGTCTTTGCCCATGAGCAGGATGATATGTATATGTTGTTATTCTGAAATAACAGGCCTTTTTAGCTCTGTCTCTGAGAGCCTGCAGCAGTTTCAAGCAGCACTCACTGTTTTGAAGGGAGGTAATTTCATGTTTTCCACACATTCTTGTGCCTCTAGACCCATTATATTTGGAGCAAGTCTTTAGAGAGATGTTAGCATGGATACCACCCTGGCAATCCTAACCACTTTGCAAGCAAATGCCACTGACTGTGGGGAACCACAAAGCAAGGACTTACATTCAGCAGTCTGATACCCCTTCTGCTGAAACAATTAATCAAAATAGAGGTCTCAGGAGAAAAAGAGGATTTAGGTGTGGAAAGGCATTCTTACTGCAGATTCTTATCTGGCTGTTAAATACCAATGTCCTATGGCCTGCTTTCTCCAGCATATTGGTTCCTGGAAGGATAACTGGCTGCTCCTTATGCAACAAGTATCTCATTTCTAAACCCTTCTATAATTTCTGACATAGAAGGAGAGCATGAGGATGCTCCTCACCTCAAGAGTTTCTGAAGGAGTATTTCTCACCAGTACTGCAAACCATGTACCATGTCCAAAGGAAGACTATACATCAGTTCTGGATTTCCACTAATCTCTTCTTCAGGCATTCCTTCAATGTTCTTCCTGAACTATCCCACATATTTGGAGAAGTTCAATGGTCTTCTTCCCTAAAACTGACTCCCCATCAATCAAGATTTAGTGGAACCAGTTCTCCTTTCTTGCAAGTAAATCCTTTGATTCTGGTGTCTCTTTCCTGTTGCTATATTCATCTATAAAATCAACCTTCCTGGTATCTTAATTTCTGAAAGACACTAAATACTTCCTTTAAGCATTTATTAATGAGCAATCCTTGTAATTATTCATAGCACAAATAGACATAAACATCTTCCTCAAGGTGTATAGTCTATTTGTACCTTTATAATTCTTTGTCATACTCCTCTCCCTGAAAATCCAGTCTAACTTGTAGATTTGGTCATTGAAAGGAAACAAGACAACTTGGAGGAAAGAAGAAACTTGATACACTGCTTATGAATACAGGGAAAAACCATTGCATTCTTGTGCAGAAAAAGCTGCATTGCAATTGTATCTATGGACAGCCTAAATAACTGTTATTGTCAAGCACTTAGTCTTCCAGACAAATTGTCTAGAACAATATATTTAATCATAAATTCATTCTGTGTTTCCAAGAGAGTATGGTATCATTATTCTATCATTATTATTATTACCTTATGGCTGAAAGCTGAAAGTAAGAAACAGGACTGGCAGCAACTTCAAATTCTTTGCTGTGAATTTCATGTACTATACAGCTACCAAAAGCAGAGAACAGGAAGGAAAAGAGCAGAACACACAAGGGCAACCATCTCTGGCAATTCCTGTTATTGAAAGGTGAGTACATTTCATTTTGTCTTTGCTTATTCCTGTATACATTTCATTCCATTAAAGACGGAGATCAGTACCATCACACTGTTGCTGTAGAAATCTAGCACAGGACTGCACATAACTCACAGTGAGTATTCAAACCTAAGTAACTTCTCTAAGCAAGTCTGTCTTCTGCAGGATTAAAAGAGGCCTGGCCAATGAAGACTGGGGCACATTTCATCCTCTTCTAGAGTTGCTGTCACTAGCACATCAGATTAGCAACAACCTTGTATTGTATCTCTTCATAAAAGGTGTGAGATGATTATCATAAATACCTACGTTGCTAATGCCTTGGCATAGAGTAAATGAATCACATCTTGAATGAGTGCTCTGCTAAAATTAGCATCTTAGATCCTCCATTACACAATGTTTTATAAAAGTAGATCCATAAACACTGGCTGCAGCCTTACATTCACTAAGCCAGAGACATTTTTAATGGAAATACTAGAAATTGTATGGGGCTGTTTTAAAATGTCCCGACATTTAAAGTCACTGATGTTTTAGGTTACTTAAATGTAAACATCATGCTTACATATATAATCTCTGAGTAGAAATGGTATCATTCATTTGATTATTAAAGGAGACAAATATGTTAAGAATCTTTTATGAATACACAAACACTTGTTCTAAGATAAAAAAGTGTGGTCCTTACATCACCTAACAAACAGAAATTGTTTTATTTCCATGTTAATTCTGATTTCGTTCTCAAATCATAGATGAAAAAGGCTAAGTAAATCAAGTAAATAACTTGATTAATCCAGGAAAAAAAATCAGTTCATTATATACAAAATGTTAAAATGAAGCAATGTTGAGGGGAGAAGGAAAGCATATCTATATGATACAGGAACTGTGGGTTCCCACTTCCACTTCAAATGCCCATAATTAGGACAGCTTTCATTACAGCAATATATTAAAAAGCCAGGACAGAAAGAATGAAGCTACTACAGAATCGTAGAATGACTTGGCTTGGAGGGGACTTTAAGGAATATCTGGTTCCAACCCATCTGTTGTGGGCAGGGACACCTTACACCAGACCAGGTTGTTCAGAGCACCCTCCAGCCTAGCCTTGAACACTTCCAGGGATGGGGCATCCACAACTTTTTTGGACAACCTTCTTCAGTGCCTCACCACACTCAGAGTAAGGGTTTTTTCCTAGTACCTGACCTAAGCGTGCTTCCTTTCAGTTTGAAGCCGTTTCCCCTTGTCCTGTCCCTGCATGCCCTTGTGTGGGTGCACCGTGACCAGCAATATTTGCTCTCTTTACTGCTGGGGCTATGACAAGCTGTTTGGTTAACACTAGCACCACACTTTTTTCTTTCTAGGCACTCTTCTCTTTCCCCAGGATTAACTTCTTCTTACCTTCCCTTTTACATATATGACATTTTGTACAGCTTTCATTTTGGATGTGCTTGCTTGTTGTAGAAACTGTTCAGTCATTCTTTGATATACCTATATTTAATAATGTTGTAAAGCAATGCATCATTCCCATGTAGTTCAACAAACAAACAAACAAAAAAAAAAAAACAAATACATCATTCCCATGTTGTTCAACAAACAAACAAAAAAAAAACCAAATAAAATTTTTGCATACATTCCAAGGGAAGAGTAGGACAAGGCACTATGGAATTATGATGAATTTCTCCATCCATCAGATGAATTCCTAATCTAAATTAAGTTTTCCCAGGATTTTATTTTGGATAGCTCTACAGAAGAATTATCTATATGTATCTGCCTATTTTTCACTGTAAAAGAAGATGAGTTATTAAAGATCAGAGTTATTTACGTATCTGCTGAATCAAAAACAACTTGTGCATATTATAGTTGTGAATTACAGTTCTGGATGCTAATACTTCCCTGTTCAGCTTGTTAATGGTACATTCAATGAAGCATACAGCAATCTAGTTTTGCAGATGTTTATAATTTCATTTCCTGCAATTTCCTGAGGAGCTTGATAAATAATCTGAAGCTTGGTTGCTCACTTGGTGCTTGTATGTAGACATATGAAGTCTTTCCTCTGAAGATATGATTATTCCTCCTAGCTCTCATTTCCACACTGCTACCTATGAGATTCTAGCGGTAGAAAAAATGTATGTGATTTCCATCTAAGAATATTTCATTTCAAAATGAAAATAAATTTCAAAATATCTTTCAAAATTTCTCTATAAGTACTTGGGAAAAATTTAAATGCTAGAAGTAATTTCTGTGATTGAACTTTAGCACCAGTTTCCTTTGGCTTCATGATGAAAGGTGTGTATTTTCT